CAACGGGATCAGGACATCATAAACTGGTTGCTCTGATCATGTCAATCAGATGCACAAAGAGCCATATTTGAACCTGTCCGCCCGAAGGAATACTCCATGGTTGAATATAATAGACAGTGAGCCGCGGCGTCTTGCGCTAAATCGCGGCCTCAAGTGTGCCATAACTATGATACAAAGGACTAGACAAACATCTTGCGCGCACATTGACCGATTGAGCAGTAGGTACTGTAAGTGCTAGACTCCGCCCTATTGACTATCTTAATCTAACTTGATGAAAAATGCGATAAATCAGTAGCAGCGCGATCACACTGCTGCCACATAGAAACCCTCTTAATCACCATCTCCCCACCATCATGCTTCTCCCACGTCGGATACCACTTATCCTTAGCCTTCCAGAAATCCGTCCTCGGGGAATTCGCGTCGTTCACCCACGGCTTACCGTGCACATCATCAGGGAACCAGCCCGACGTGCCCCCAACAGCCAGCGCGATGATCAGGTAGAATGGCCGATCAAAGGGCGTCGCGTTGCTAGTGCCTGGGCCAGTCCACGGATTGGAGATCTGGGACCCGTTGAGAAGGGCTTGGTGGAAACCGCCGTGCTGGTAGAATGGGTGATTGAACTTGACGTATGTGACTTGTGCGATGCGGTGGTCTAGCCATGTGAAGAGGTACTTGTCCGACCACTCCAGTCCAAAGGTATGAAAGTCTTTGTGGAAAGTTGTGCGTAGCGTATCTCTCGCACCCGAAGTGCTCTGCCACCGATCAGTGGAGGTATCCAGCCCCCAGTGCAACTGCGTCGAAACCTGCTGGTTCCCCCGCCCATGATCATAAGTGTAATTATTCCCCCTCACCATCCCGATATCAATCTCGCCAGACGCCGGCCACGCGCCGTAGTAGTCCTTTGCTGGGAACATCATGAGCTGAGAGAGGAGCCAATCTCCTGCTGCGAGCTTAGCAACGATCTCGACGCGGCCGTAGCGGATGACGCCAAAGTTCTTAGTCGTTATTCTTCCAGATTTGACGGGCGCGACGATTTCGCTGGCGGTGAGGTTTGCGACTTGGACGCAGTCTTGGGTTGTTGTGGCGGAGCAGGTTCCGTGGGCTGTGAGGTTTATCTTTGTTGTTTCGGAGAGGTATTTGTCGGTTTGGAGGGTGGGTTTGATGATGAGTTGACCGTCGCGCACGAAGACGTTTTCATCCGTGTCTGTCGTAAGCGCAAACTCGCCGTTTCTTGAAGCGCCATACCGATTAGTACTCATCATTATTGCGAGGTGGAGTTTCAACGTACCCGTATCCTCCAACCTCAACCTGCTTGTTCCATATCGTAGAGTTGAAGCCATTGGAAAAGTCATCCGTAAAGACCGTGCAGTATTGATGTTTGTCAACTGACTTATAGCCACTCCATGTCAGAAGTGCTATGGCTAACAGTCCGACAATGATACCTAAAGCTGGGATGATTGTGATCCATATGCCACGAGGGTCCTTCACCGCGAGGTATGGTCTCTCGACAGTGCCCTTTTTGACTCGGCGTGAATGGAAGTAGGGACGCTGAGGGAATCTCTTCTTGATCGAGGACTCAGTTGAACTTTGAGCTGCGAGGCTTGGTCTGACCAAGTCTTCCGTGGAGTTGGCATGGCTTGTAGAGGCAAAATATGATCCAGAGGATCTAATCGCAGTACTCGACATTGTGATAGACTAGCAATATCCGGTGTGTTACCCGAGACAAGAATGGCAATGCAGGGCGCTAGATGTGCAGGATGCGCTTGGCATCGCGGGCAGCATGGTTATTGCCAGGCATATAAGAATCAAGGATTTGTAGCAGAGCCCATCGAAATCAGCGAACCTCTAAAGTACCGGCTTTCATCAACAACATCCACTGCTCACACGCCAGACTGAATCGCATCTGTATTCAGACTCAAGTACACCCCCCTTCCTTGAAACTTACGACATTCCTTCATTCTCAAAACTTCAGTCGCCGTAGACAGACCGAAGGGTATTTTTGACAACACCGAGCCAACAAACCCCCAACACTCGCTTCCGTGCAAAAGTCCATCAGTGCGAACCTCCGTAAATTGAGATTGCTCCGCTCGTCAGTGGGTCTCCTCGATTATCTGCCTTGGCATTGCTAAGCGACGTAGTATTGAAGCGGATCTGGAGGAATAGGGTGCATATGTCAAAAACTTGGCGAGGTCGAGGCTTGCCCTAGAAGGGTATGATGCCAATTAAAAACCCTGCTTCACTTAAGGCTACCGTTTATCTGGCCGTGTCCACTACGGCAACTTATTCCTGATAACGCCTCTTCCGTACTTTCGCAGGCTACGTCACCGGATACCCTCGGGAGGAGACCCCCACTGTCTGACTCGTGGTGACAGCGGACATAACATACATATTAGGAAGTGAGAATTCCACTGATGTTACAACGGTCGAGAATGGAACTTGACTTTATTGCAACAATATGATTAATCGGTTTACAAGAATATTAAAATACGAGCCTGAAAATCGATTCACGGACCTCTCCATGGTCAAAACATCGAGTGTAAAGTGCACATCAGATTCATCGCGGGGTAGCGACCTAACATAAATCCCCGTAGTCAGCGCCACAAACCAGGTACAGTTGAACACAGACCAACAACATGTCACACAAGCCCCCGTGACTCAAGCAAGCAGCCTAAAAACGGACAATTAATCCTTTCGGCCGACGGAGCCGAATCACTTCCCTGGCAGGGGGAGGAATCACATTCCAGCACCCACAAAATCAACATGATCTGATGAAGAAAACATCCCATCTCCAAGATCGGCAGTGAGTATCGGGTATCGATAATCAGTTCTCACAATGCAAGGTACGAGATGGTATGCATGTCAAGAAATTCAATAACTAGAGACTGCGCTATTGCGGAATTGACCAATTGCATTACATGATGACCCGCCTTTTTGTGGTCGAGGAGAATTTAAGCGGCCCGACTGTTCCGCGTTTGTTGTGAGTGCGCGAGTCAGGGCTGCGAGACCGAGGATTCGGATTGTTCTGAGTAAACAGATGTTGGTCTGAGGATATCACGTTTTGCGCCGCAAACGGCAACGGCTTGAACTTACGCGTGGGATGATGCTGTACAGACAAAGACTTCTCGGTAGTTGTGAGGTGGCAACCTAAACGAGCCTAAACGACCTGACTTTCTGCGACAGTCTCTCCTTACCCCTTGAACGTCCTGCTGCGCAGATCCCTTCCATTCGTTTCCCCAACCTCGTCCCTCGCTGATCTTCACCTCAGAATGATGCTCATACAATCTTCGTTTCTGGCCCTGGCCATCTTCACATCTTCATGCATCGCCATATCCAAAAACTTCTACCCTTCCTCAAAACGAGGCCTCATCTACATCCCAAACTCCGACTTTCCCCAAGATGATAAAGTCTGGGTTCAGAAACACTCCGACCTAACATGGTACTACAACTACAAACCGCACCCCAGCTCCGTCTACGAGAACAACACATCCCTCCAGTTCGTGCCCATGCTCTGGGGCGCCCCTGATGGTTTCGACGACACTTCCTTTCTCGAAAACGTCACGGCGCAAATCATCGGCGGGGCAAACATCACGTACGTGATGGGCTTCAACGAGCCAGATAACTCAATGGCCAACGGCGGCAGTGACATGAAACCCAAGGACGCAGCAAAGTACTGGATCAAACAGCTTGAGCCGTTGAGAAAACTAGGTGTTTCGCTTGGTGCGCCTGGGGTGACGGGTGCGCCGTCGGGGTTTACGTGGCTTGCAGATTTTGTAGAGGCTTGTAAGGGGAACTGCACGTTTGACTTTATTCCTATACATTGGTACGGAAGCTTTGATGGCATGGCGAGTCATATAGCCGGTGTGCTGGATGTGTTTCCGGGGAAGAAGATCTGGGTTACGGAGTTTGCGCTGGACTTTTCGTCTTTGGTTGCGACGCAGGATTATTTCCAGACGTCGGTGAAGTATCTCGATGGAAACGAGTAAGTCACATTCATCCCTGACGAGTACGATGATTAACGTGGTGGTTTAGGAACATAACTCATTATTCGTACTTTGGGTCTTTCCGCTCATTCACGTCGAATGTTGGGTATAACGTGTCGATGCTGAATTCATTTGGGCAGTTGACGGATATAGGAAGTTGGTACCTTGGGGGTGATGCGACGGGCGTTATACCGGGCGATAATGTTGTCAAGCCTAATGTGACCGCTGCTAAGCCGTCTACGCCTACGTATGTTGTTCCGTCGTTGGTAACGGAGGACAGCGACTCGTTGGGTGTTGTGATTCGGCCTTGTATATCCTATCTTGTGCTACTCGTCCCCATTCTTGCTTTATATGCTAGACTATAGAATTAGATACCAAAACCCCTAGATTACCAGCTTCTTTGACATGTTGCGTGTTTCGTGTTGTATTAATTTCTATGTAGTGATTTTAAGCTCTCAGCCACGGATCTAAGACTCAAATAAACGTCCCCCTCCGAATCTGGATATTATCACACAGCGCGGAACTAATCGCCTTTGTTGTGATATCCTAGCTCCGGGCCCGTGTCCAAGAATGTCACTAACTCCCGATTACAAAGGGCACTATCCCATTAAATTCATCAGGCCATGATGTAACACCATTGTTCGTCGAAAAACATGTCCCACGCGATCCACAATATTCTTTCCGGTTTCAGCCACTTTGTATCTGCCGTGGAATGCAGTGACAACCAACAGCACAAATACGCCCGCCTACACGACTCGCGTACTACGACCCTACCAATCACAAGTCATTGACTCCTGCTCGTTTCGGTATGTGAGAACTGACAAAGGTTCTCTTTTCTTCGGCGAATTGATGAACGGGGTGTATGCGTATCCATGGGAGACCACGACAGCACGGTGTCCGGCGATCACCCGCTGCCGTTGCTACATAACAAAGACTGATGCACTCTTTTAACGCCAGGGATCGTCAAAGAGAGAAATGATAGACGTGATGGATTCTGGAACGAGTAGGCGATCAGTCAGCATGTCAGGGGCTGTAACTAATGGGTCGATTCGCCATGTCACTGGCCTGTCACTCGGCGCCTCAACACCCGTCCCAGTAGTAAGCACTCACATGACTGGTACTTTGAGGATTAATACTAACAGTATATACTTAGGTAGCCATCATTGGAGACAAAGGCTCTGGAAAGACATCGTTGTTCGAAGCTCTCTCTGGTCTATCTCTTCATGGATCTCGTCTCTCGTCAACGAAATTCCCCATCCATGCTTGCTTCACGCACAGCAGCCGGACAGGGACGACGCTCAGAGCACGGATAAGGCCAGGGAAAGTCGACGGACAGAATGAGGAGCTTTCAGACCACTTACACAGTTTCGAGGTGAACTATGAAGGTGACCTTGCTGCTGTCAATCTCCCTCAAATTGTGAATCAGGTTCGTACAGTCTTTTATCCCGATGCCCTCACACACTTTGCTAATCGCGGGATAACAATACAGGCAACGAATCACATGCAGATCGCAACGGCGTTCTCTGACGAAAAGGAACAAGAAGAGCAACAAGTATCCGACAATGTACTTGTCATTGAGCTTTCAGGTCCAGACTTTTTCAACATGGAAATCGTCGATACACCTGGGCTTTCCTCCAGTGAGTCATATTTCCGTGCCTTTTGTGTAGTAGCAAAGCTTACATATACAGGTCCGACCCTTGATGACACCCAAGAGGTAACAAGACCTCTCATAATGGATCTCGTCAGGCAGCCCAACACTATCATCCTGTCAGTCTTACCTCTTACTGTCCTCAGGAGAATGCTAACAAAGATCAGATCTGTCGTTGACGCAACGACTGATATGAGCACTCAAGAGGGCCCCAGGCTTGCACGAGCAGCTGACGTGACGGGCAATCGCATCGTTGCTGTCGTGACAAAGTGTGACCTTGTACCCCCAGAAGAGCGAAGATTCGTAAGCCTGCACCCTTCTAAGGATATGTGTATCTCAGACTGACTGATCCAGGTGTTGAGGGCTATGCGTAACAAGGAACGTCATCTCGGCCATCCCTGGTTCGCTATCAGAAATCTCTCAAGCGATGAACGCGATCGAGATTGTGGCTTAGAGACGCGAAATTCCATTGAGGAATTATTCTTCTCAGAAATGGACTGGGCCGTTCTGAAACGTCGGCGGCGTGTGGGGGCAACAACACTGAAGGACCACCTAAAGACTAGGGTGAATGTCTTGCTTCGGGGTAGTATAGAACTACTGACAACTATACTCAACACACCCTCACATTCCGTTGCACCATCACATGCCCCAAGCATCACAGAAAAGGGACACGCAACAGAAGTCTACGCAATATCGGAAGGAACTGCAGTAGCAGACGTCGACCTAGAATTCGCATCAGATGCACCGCGCCCAACACCGCTTCTGAACGCCGTCATCGTCGGGTTGACCGTTGCCATTTGTCTCTGCCTTATAGCACTTGGCTGTAGCTCACTGGTAGTGGAGATTGCGAGTGAGGGACACTGGTATCGCATATTTCTTCTAGTAACGGCTCCTCCACAGATTATCCTGAGCTTGGTAAGAATACTCCGTTACTGCTGGAGACTTCTACTGACTTGGTAATAGTTCTTCTGCCAAGCGATTGTTGTGACCATTTTTCAGATGATTGGCCCCGTCACGCAACTAAAAGTCAACTCCAAGTTTTACTCTGCAAAGCGAACGAAACGCCTTGATGGAACGAAAGTGCTATTACCGCATGTCACTATTCAGTGTCCTGTTTACAAAGAAGGTCTTGAAGGTGTAATTCGGCCAACAGTACAGTCCCTCTCCGCCGCCATTCGCAATTACGAATCCTTCGGTGGCACAGCTAGTATCTTCATCAATGATGACGGTATGCAACTAGTGTCAGAAGAAGAAGCCGAGGAACGACGCATGTTCTACAAAGAAAACAACATCGGTTGGGTTGCCCGACCAGGTCATAACGTAAATGGCGAAGGAATAAAGAGATTCATACGCCGTGGAAAGTTCAAGAAAGCATCAAACATGAACTACGCTCTGGGCATCAGCCTCAAGGTGGAGGACAAGCTGGTGCAGATCGACCGCCATGAGAAGTGGACACAAGTCGATGAGGATGCAGCCTATCAGAAGTGCCTCGATGAAGTCCTCTCTGAAGAATTAGGCCGTGCTTGGGTAGGCGGTAACATCAGAGTCGGCGACTATCTCCTCCTTGTTGACTCCGACACACGCGTCCCGACAGACTGTCTGATCGACGCCGTCAGCGAACTCGAAGCTTCACCCCAAGTTGCGATCCTCCAGTTCACATCCGGCGTGATGAACGTCACGACGAGCTACTTCGAAAGCGGCATCACATTCTTCACCAACCTTATCTACACAGCCATCACCTACGCCGTGGCCAACGGCGATGTCTCACCCTTCGTGGGGCATAATGCGTTTATTCGTTGGTCTGCGCTGCAAGAGGTTGGGTCAGAAGACGGTGGTATTATCAACGGCGAGCAAGATCCAAACGCCACAACGCCATATGAGAAATTCTGGTCCGAGTCTCACGTCTCAGAAGACTTTGATATTTCTCTGCGGTTGCAAACACTCGGTTATCATATCCGTCTGGGGGCTTATTGCGGTGACGGCTTCAAAGAGGGTGTTTCGCTCACTGTTTACGACGAGTTGGCCCGGTGGGAAAAGTATGCGTATGGGTGCAGCGAGCTTCTCTTCTGGCCTATAAAAGACTGGTGGAGACATGGTATCTTTACACCGCTGTTCAAACGCTTCATCCTGTCGAATATGCCGCTTGGGTCTAAGATCACTATCATGTCTTATATCGGCACATACTACGCCATTGGTTATTCGTGGATTGGCTCGCTGCTGAACTACTTCCTAATTGGATGGCTCAACGGAGAGCTGGATCACTATTACATGAGCAGTTGGCGTGTTTGGGTTGCTCTTGTGGTCGTCTTCTCTATAGCGGGGAACATCACCCTCGCACTGATCAGATACCGCTCTCAGCAGGTCAGCTTGCTCAAGGAGCTCTGGACATGCTTCAAGTGGGTGGCTCTCATGTTTATTTTCCTGGGTGGTATATCGATGCATGTCTGCAAGGCGATTCTCTGTCATATGCTGTCGATTGATATCAGCTGGGGCGCTACGTCGAAGGAGGTGGAAGACACCAATTTCTTCCAAGAGATCAGTATCATCATTGGGGGCTTCAAGTATGTCTTCATCTTTTGCATTGCAGTGGCGGCACTGATGATCTGTGGTGTCTATGCCTTTCCGTATTTATGGAGGATTGATGAGCTCGTTGCAATCTTTCCTCTTGGAACTGTCATCTTCTGTCACTTTTTCCTCCCAATTGCTCTGAATCCGAACCTGATGAAGTTCACTTGGTAACTAGATAGATATTAGAGCTTATAGAATAGATCTCATATATGATTAGAAAGCATTAATAGCTACATAGATGCAAATGGAAGAAATCAATATGCAATAGAGATATAAATAAAGTAGTCATGAAGGCCTCTCACATCTCAATAACCTTGAGCTTCTGTTCCTCTATCTCACCCGTCAAGATTAGCCCAGCCGTACTTACCAAGAGATTCCAGCAAGCAATTAATCTGTGTCATCATTAAAGTCATCATTAAAACAACAATTTTATCGCCATGGGAATTGACAAGAGTGTGCCGGTGCGCCCAATAGTATCGCAAAGGCGGCGGTGTAGGTTGTGATGAAAATGACTGACTCCGTCTTATGGGCAAGTGCACCAGTTGTGGCTCAACCATGATACGATACAAAAGGATAGTAACATAGTAATTAACTACTAAGAGCTCGTGCTCTGTAATTGACTGTCAACTGAAGCCACGTGCAGCTCATTCATAAGGAGGCTTCTCTCGGTGGCTGCAATCGCTGTAATGTTCTGAGGCAATGATCACCGAACTCATGCTGAACATAACTGATCCACCAAGGGGGAAGCAACGAAGCATTGAAAATTTGTCTCGGAATTCTGCGAAAAAGAAAAGTTCATCCTGAACAATTGCCAAACTAAGCATCTCATATTATAAATGTCACTTCATCCGCCCAACTCGCATCAATCATTCCCATTTCTATCTCATCTTTCAGACACATCAAGCAGCACTCACTACTACATCACAGACCTAGAAATCCAGAAGACACCCGGAGGATCTTCAAAAATGCATTCTCAACTTCAACTTCTGACCGACAACACCATGCCTGGCACTCGATGCCCGACATGCTCTACAGCCGAGAAAGATGTCTGGGTCATTCCGGGACGCTCCTGCGGACATTGCGGCACCTATTGCGAATAGAGAGCATACCACAAAGCTCAGAGGTAATTTTCCATAGACACGAACATGTCTTGGGGTGCCTTGACCTTGCTGAGAAATATGTTGGTTGATGGTTAGATCTGTCAGCGGACAATGGAAGAAGCGATTGGGCTTGAGGGTAATGCCACTTGAAGAGAACGATATCAATACAGTGACATCAGATAGAAGATGTGGACCAAAATTTACAAAACTCTAACAAATTATTATTCATCGCTACCCTTTACGTGATACCATACTTCGTGATTAACAATACGCTCTACCCTTGGACACCTGACTTCGCCTCTCCCTGCAGAGTAAAAAGCTCCCGTTTCCAACCAAACCACTTCGCCATTCTCTTCCCCATAATTCGCAACAGAACCGGATCAATCTTGTCAGCGGGATGCGGCTTGTGAAAGACAATCCTGCCTCCCTCCCCAAGCTGCTTGAACGCCACAGCTGAGCCGCTATTGTTCCTCGCCGTGAAACCTGCCTCAATCATGACCCGGACGAATCGATCCCATGTGACTTCCTTGGCTACGTTATCTTTGCTGGGAAACATGAGATGAATGACACCGAGTGACTCCCTTGTCAATGAGATGACGGCATGCTTGGTGACCTCCTCTGCAGCTTCGGCTGGTGGTTCGGTGACACCACTGGCAGTAGAACACTGGTCCCCTCGCGTTTTGACCTTCTCCCGGCCCTGCGCTACGGCAGTTGACGCGGCGCTGGGCTCAGGACCCTCGTTGAAGGTACCAGTAACTGGCTGGGGTCCGTCTGCGATGTTGATTGCGGAGAGGATCTCAGCCTCTTCGCGTTGTTTATCCTGGATATACTCCTCACTGAGGTGCGCCGAAGCGATGCCAAGAAGGCTGTCAACCTCTTTCAGAGTATACGCTTTAACATCCCGCTGTGTTAACTGCTTTCTCAAGAATCCCCTGATCGACTCCCAGAATTTCTCGTTTGCCGTGGAAAGAGCCTGAGAATGCGAAAGCCACTCTGCCTTTTTGGGGCCGTTAGGCGGCTTCGCATGGTAGAAGTCTCTGGTGAATGCCATCCCGATGTCTCTGTACACGTCTCTGTTGAATCCGAATGGTTGCACCAACTTCCAAAACATCCGATCTTCTGTGGCAATCACTTCTTCTGGATCTCGCACCGAGTTTCGAGGCCTGTGCGATTGAACAGCTATCAACATCTCGTGGCAGGTCGACAGATCCGAGAGTGTCTGGTGGGTGATTTCGTCCAGCCTCTTCCCTTCGGATGGATTGCTGGAAAGATGATCTTGGAGCATGGCAAAGAGCATAGCATGGTCAAAATGGCTCTGGTTGTTAGGCTTTCCCTGTAGTTGTACAAGACACCAGTCAAGGGTATCATCGTCAAGAGATTGTTGGGTGTTTTGCGGCGTTATACGCTTGGTGATGCCAATGACTTCAGGTCGAGTATCGTATCGATGGCGGCTGGGGTCGAGACTCCAGTGTTTCTGCATGCCTGGAATATGCGGCAATTGTTCGTACAAGAAACTGGTCTTTGCCATGACCTGGCCAAGCAGCAGAAGCTCAAGGGCACCCAGAGCCTTGTCGTACTTTGGGGGTAAGGGCATGCCAGGATGAATACTGTCGCTGAATCGCCTGCGAATTGTCGCAACGTGCCTGCACTCCGCTTCAATCCACTGCCAGCAACAGTAGCTCTGTATTTCAAGGACGATTTGCTCAGGGATCATCATCGCTCTATTTTCCACTGAGGCCTTCTTGAAAATCTCGGTCGCAGAAATCATCTTGGCATGTCTTCTCATGTACGCGGCGTCGCACTGCAGGTACCATAGGTGATCACCAATCTCATCCAGGCGAGACTTTGCGAGGTCGGCAAGGTAGTCGCAGTTGAACATGGGGGGGCGGGAGAAGGCTTGGTTGGTGTAGGGAGACCAGAACTCGCCTGCGCCTGTCTCCCGGAAGGCTTCGTGGCTGACGAGGTCGTGCCACTTCTCAGCTCGTGGGGTTTGCAGAGGGTCTACTCCTTCGAGGATCTTGTCGACTATGTTGCAGAGAGTTCCCAGAAGATGCGCCTGGGCTTCAAGAACCAGCATCGCTCTGGGATACCCGAGAGTATCACCACGATGCACAGCATTTGTTTCCCAGTCTACCAGTGACCCATATCGATCTCCGTACATGACGACGCATTTCAGACAGAAGTTAACGTCGAAGTATCCAGCTGCCCAACTGAAAGTGAGCTGTCGATTATCGAAGGGCGCCCACGACTGGGGAGGGTACGCAGTTCGGTAGTGAAGAAGGGCGAAAAGCACAGAGGGGTTGGTCTTGAGGACATGGACGTTAAGCCATGGCAGAAGGAGTTGGCGTCTCCGAATCTGAGTTCTTTCGCGCATGTAAAGGCTCTCGCGCGTGTAGCTGTATCGCGGGATAAGCCACTGCTGTTCTTCGAGATCAGGCACAGCTTCTTTTAACAGAGCCGCTCGTTTCGTTTGACTTTTCTTCTTCCAGCGACTCATCAAAACATCGCCAAAGACTTTAATCTTGTCGCTCAGTTGATCTCGGCTTCGATGGATGCTTTGCACGAGGGAGCGCGCGTTGCGCTCTGCGACGGCATCGGAGAGTCGGAGGTGGTAGGAGTGTTGGGCGTGGCGTTGCTTCTCGACGGGGTAGAAGCTATTCTCGCATTCGGCGCATTCGCATGGAGGTCGGCGGATCGATGCTTCGAGGGTTCTCTTCGTGAAACCGTAGAATGGCGGATCTGGCTCCTGGTCCTGGACCAGGAAGAACGGGTTCATCGTGTCGATGCTTCAGGTGATGCAAAAGCCGAGTTAAGTCGAGTTAAGTCGAGTTAAGTCGAGTTAAGGTCTCGATTGAAATTTTCATTCTCATAAACAAAAGTTGACGGGCCAGAAGCATCAAGGTGGAGGCCAATGAATCAGCTGCTACGGCGATGCAGTGTAATGCAGTGCTAACGCGCTTCTAGCTAAGGCTTTGCTAAGGTATAAATTAGATATATATCTTGTAATAGAGAACTGAAAGCTGTGTTTGCCTAGTTTGTAAAGTGCTTAAGTGACTGAGCTTGAGTGCAATTATATCTAAAATGTGCTCTGGAATCGAAGTAAGGAAGAGGACATCGGATTAGTTTGTTGTAACTATTTAAGACTGGATGCCTACTTGAAAACATCTAGATATTGTAAGTCCTCTATTAAAACCACTAACCCTGTCTTGTTCCAGAGTGTCAGAGGATGCGATGTCACCTTATTATTATATAAACCTGTTGAGGCTGTGTGCCCACATGCTCTCCATAATCCAGCCTTGACACAAGTCCTCATATTACCGCGTGCATTAAATGAATACCTAAATATCCGGCTATTATACATTGCGCCACTCAATCCGTATTAGCAAAAGCCTTCTGGATACCTTCCAGCTCCTCCAAAGTCAGGGGAATGATGGTTCCATGACGAGGAGACTCGGGGTATTTATAACCCGTGCGGAGTGTCCACTTCCCACCAGCAAGATCAGTCGACTCGAGTGGCACATAACCATTACCGCCAAATTCATCAGCCAGCAGGATATACCTAGCACCATTGGTATCCTTGCAGTTGGTCTTGAAGATTGAAGGGCCCTCTACCTCTTGCGTTCCCGCGTTTTTTCCGATGCAGCTTGCTATCTGACGCCAGTCGCCCAAGCCTGCAGTCAACGAGGCACTGCTTTCCTGTACGATATCCGCACAGCCATTGACAGTAGCCTTTGTGAAACGATAATAGACTCCATCCTCCTTGATGACGGTGGAGTCAATCCGGCCATTCGGCGGTTCATCCTGCCAAACCTTGGGCTCACTGAACGTGATAAAGTCATCCGTTGTCGCGTAGACCATACGCTGGTACTCAATGGGGTCATGATTGGGGTTTGCTTCATTGTCATAGATTCCAGACGCCCAGTATACAACATAGGTTTTGAGGTCGTCATCATAATAAGCCTCAGGTGCCCAGGTATTTCCGTAATTATCTGGTGATACCTCAACATGACGCTGGGCACTCCAGTTGACCAGGTCTGTTGACTCCCAGATCTCAAGATGTCGACTGCCAAAGCGCTGGGCGTCTCCCCAGCTCGTGCCGCAGCCGATACAAAGATCAGTAGCCAGGATGTAGAATTTGTCTCCCTCGTGTGACCTCAAGATGAAGGGATCTCGAACTCCACCGTCGCCTTTGGTGGATGTCAAGATGGGCTTGCCATTGTTGAGCTCTGTGAAGGACAGGGCGTCATTTCCGTTGCTGGCAGCCAGATAAATGTTCTCATCGCGGTTGCTGAAATACAGAAATGCATAACCTTCATAGTTGGAGTTACAACTGATCTCCCTCTTGGCAGCTTGCGGTCCAATTGGTGGGGCCCCTGTAGGCGAGGCAGACGTGAGCATTGGCAACACCGCCAAAGCGCTGAGAATGATGGATGGATGGAGTAGAGACAACATTGTGAAAGAAGACTGGGCAAGGCAGGTTGTTCTGATGGACGCGGATTAAAATTGAAAGTGCAATATATGTGACTTCTTATAGTTGAACCTGCACAAACGTCCCACTTTCGCCATGACCTCGCTGTGGAAGATCATTTCTCAATCAAAGTATAAGGTTACCACGTTATGCTTAGAAGAACGCTTCGCGCTAAGCTTAAGCTGAGTGATTGGGTCGGATAACTCGATCGGCATGACCCCAGATTCCACTTCCCCGCATTGACCTCTTTCTTCGTATTCTAGGACATTTTCGCTGTAGCCGAGCAAATAGCATGTCTTTTCTTTCGGTCTACGAGAATATAGGTCCCATGATCTATGAACGCGTGCCAGTCTTGAAGTCCTTTATAAAATGCTCCGCGCAATTGCACAGCCGCGCCAATAAATTGCTGTAACACATACAGCCAGCTCGTTTTGATCAACGTTTTAGGCTGTACTTTAAATTATGTGTCTGAACAGTTCTGGCATTACCTTTGATGCTACGTTTTTTATAGTAAAGATAAGTTTTTAGTAGAAATACTAGATGACTTTGAGAGATTGATCATTACTGATTCTACTGTTTGCCTTTGCAGCCAAGAGTCCACCGTAACCATAACGACTGATGGCCCGATAGGCACTTGTGTCGTTCACAAGTCACTTCACATGTAGGCGCTTTAACACTGAACGACTTTCTTATAGACTAGTGATAGATATGTAAGGTATCAAGCCAATCTATACATCCAGACACAAATAGCTACCTAGCTACTCGTCTTGACCGGCCAGCACAAGACACATATTTCCAGGCGCATCCCAGGCGCAGACTATAAATACAAGTGAAACAAAATTCTTGAAAATAATTATACAGCTTAATGCACGGCGTGAACACTGAATTTTATCCAATATTGCAAGCTGCAATGCCTTTGCTGAAAATAACAGCTATCTGCTACGATTAGTTGGTGCAGTGGCCACGACGGTGACTTCCATGGCGACATCGACGATGAGCGGCACTATGCGCCTTGTGCGCCTGGTGGGAACCCTTCTTCGTAGCGGTCTTCTTGGTACCCTTCTTGGGAGCAGTCTTCGAGGATGCCTTGGATGCTACAGGGGGGACAGGGTATTTCACCGCCTTGGCTGACTCAACTACAGAGGCAGTATGAGTGGATGTTGGGGCCTTGGCGGTAGAGAGTGTTGTTGAAGAAGTCTTCTGGGGAGCCAAGGTGGGCTTAACACTAGTTGAAGTTGGAATAGACTGCGCAGAAACAGCAGTTGAGACCGGTTTCGAGCTCTTTGCTGTTGTGAGCTTTACAGTGACGACACCGTGCACTGGGACCGTGACCTTGACGCTACCACCAGATAGAGTTACCTTGGTATCAACCATCTGTGCCTCCGCATCCGAAGTGAAAGCCTGAGCTGTTGAGAAGCTACTTCCCGAAACACCCAAGTCCACAGTCTGAGCAGCAGTGCCAGAGTTAGTGAGCACCATGACAACGCTTCCATCAACGTTCTCAAACGCACCAACAATCGTATCTTGAACAACACCTGACGTCGAAAGTCTATGCGCGCCAGGACGAATGTGGCGCGACCAGTGAGCAATGGCCCAGAGAATCGAGGATATGGTAAACTTGGTACCGTCCGTGTCGATGACGTGAGATAGAGACCCTTTGTTGTTGGTCTCGACGCCCTCCCAGTAGATATACGCCGAGAGGTCGGCATTGACGATGCCTTGTGCGATCTTGACTGCCCATGTGAAACCTTCGTTGGAACCGCCGTTGACGTACCACGCTGTGGCGAACGCCTGGTCATTGGCAGCTCCCTCGGACATCCAGGTTGGCAAGGTGGTGTTCATAGGCTGGTCGGGACTACTGGAGTACTCGTGAGATGTGATGACGGATAGATACTTCTCCACCTCAAGCTCAGCCAGTTTGGCGGTGTAGTCCATCTGCGACTTCCATCCGATGTTGTCGCAGCATGTCATCTTAATATCGCCAAGGCCCTTGGATTGCAAAGCGCTGTGTAGAAGAGGAATCACATCTGCAGCTTGCTCGGCGGTTGAGAGCATAAAGTCCGAGCCGTCGCCCTCATTGAGGAAACCGACGTGCGACACTGGGATGCCAGCCTGCTTGTAGTAGGAGAGGTACTCAGCTATCATCTCAACGTAACGATGTCTCCAATCTCCAGATGAGCACGACACACCAGGTGTACCGCAGAGACGGCCCATACTAGTGGCTGACTTCATATACACAGGCGCAGACCAAGCATTAGCGTAGATAGTGTCTACGCCATAGCTCATGGCCTGTTTGCTGAGCCATACCTGACCATCATCATCGCCGTCAAAATGGTAAACAGCTTGCTTATCTGGGTTATCGGTGTTGGTGCTGGTGATGGAGTTGGAGGCGTCGCAGCCGATCTTGTTTCGGATGATGGATAAGCCTGCGCCGGTTGTGGTGTTGAAGAGAAGATCGAGGCCCTCTTTCTGTGGTCCGGAGGCGAGGTTTTGGAATTGCTTGGCGTGGCCGTAGGCCTCTGAGACACCGAAGCCATCGATGACCTGGAGTTTCTGGTTGGTGTTGACAGTAACGGATGTATCGCCAAGCGCCAGGCTGGCTTGAAAGGCAATGGCAGGAATAACGAATGAGAAGAGCATATTGCCGACTAATGAATGAATAATAGATTGTGAAATGAAAGGTGATTTTTGTCCAAGTAAAAAAGTTCAATAGATCCTCAACTGAATCGAAAGAATGTACAACAGAAGCAATAGTGAACGAAAGATGAATGAATGACGAGTCAGGCAGTCCTACTCTGTACAGCTGCATGTAAAAGGACTCGGCTCCTTTAAAGTATTGAATTAGAGTCAAGCTCTTAACATCAAAGGTCACTCGACCTTTCGTCAAGTGGGTAATTACTTCCCAGCTCCCCAGAAATCCGACTTCATCCCAGGAGCAAACAGGGGTGTCGGGAAGACGGCACAGCTAGACACAGCGCATGTTGGTCGTTTTGAGGCTCTTGTTAAATTCGAGGGGCTTAGAACAACGCAACGCAAAGGACTGCCCTTGCCGTCTACCCCGACAAGAATAGCGAGACTTTATTGCAAAATGTATGCTGTAATATTTCAGGGCGCGGTTGGGAACAGAAGCGCATTTTGAGAGATGAGACGCTGATTGACTTTGATCTTCCCAGCTGTTCCATGGAAACCCATAGATGAATATCGAGTTCTATAGGATGACTCTACAAATATTTACTCTTGCCTTGGCCGAGTATCATGGACGTGCCACTAAGCGACAATAAATGTTTCCTTCGTTCAGGTTCGCTTAGATGTGCCTCGCCATTTTCGAGCCCTTGTCTGCATCAATCATCGCTTACAGAGAGACTGGAAAGCTTATTTTACCGCTAACATTACGTAGGCCGTTTCAGGTTCGCCAGAGGCTACTTTACTGAACCGCGCTAAAAGTGTTTTGACAGGTGGGAAATAAACGATAAGGCGGCTTGTGTTCGGAAAACCGGCAGTATCTGAAACGCCTGGCAGCCTACCAATCATGTTCAGGGTGCTTGTCATCAGGACATCAAACTCTGTGCCTGCCGTTCAGACCGTATTGAAAGTGGGCAGAGTTGAAATAATAGTCTTCCTCGGAAGGTTATTGATTCATGGCTGGGAAATGAAATCCTGTGTACTTGCGGCGGCATTACACTTTGTTGAGTCGCGCTTGTTATGAGGTCCGGTTAGAGGAGTGGGGGCCGGGTGTTTCCTTTGAAAGCAGCCATAACAGCGCTGTCCTCATGTCCAGAGTCTTTCCCACTAAGAATTCCAGATAGTTCACTTCTCAGGAGAATTATCTTAATACCTTACCTTTCGCTGGGTGACCCCTATGTTCTTTTTCTGTAGCCAACATGCTTTCGCAAACAATCAGTGCCAGGCAAAAGCTGCACCAAGACCCGTTAATGGGGCAAAGGAAAGTCTAGGCGCTCGTCGGGTTAACCATTTTCCGGTTTCTGGTTGAAGAACTCATAACCTCGCGCCAATACAGGGTAACCCATGATCCAGGACTAGACAGGCCACTAAGCTATTCTGACAATACAGACTTGTCGAGCAACGATGAGGTACATGGAGTTTGACACTGTAATTAATTATGACCAGCTTAAATGCGATCCTCGATGGCCGTGAGTAAACAGTTAACGCTGTGTCAAAGTAAACAAGTGAATTGATCATCCTATGTGAGGGAAGAAAAGCGTGAGTGAGTGAGAGATTGGGTAAATTCCACTGTACTGCATATTTAATTGCCATACAAGATACCAATTATCTGCTTAATTCCTCCTTCTCAACAATCCGTAAGTATTCTCATCGGTTCGATTCTGAACAATTTCCCGCTTCTGACTTTCTCCAACAGAGGCACACGTTATTCATGCCCCGGCCCTCAATCTCGGATCTAGCAATCTAATCTCAGCTCGGACGAGATAAGATAAGCTTATCCAGAGGCCAATCGAGACCCAATTGTGGCTGGCTGACATTCCAATACCATATCGATAGTCATCTCTGGCGCATGCAAGGGAGACCTTCGCCAGCGTAAACCAGCTAATCAGACGGCGATATTCGCTGCCACTTCAATACTTGCCGCTGTGACAAGCTATAACGGGAATCTGTCACCAATTGCTATCCCCAAATTCGTGTGCTATACCCAGATTAGTGAAGGCGCGGGGTTGTCCCGTCGTTCCGTGCCGAGTTGAAGATCATTTTTGGAATTGAGTGGCACCGATAGCGTATACTTCTGAAACTAATCAATTGGTGAGAATACAAACAGACATGCTCTCGTTGGTCAAGGGAACCGAGTGGCTGGCACTACTCAATTCCACGAGTTCATAGCGTAGCGGGCGTGGTTATGTCGCTTCGGTCAGTATTAAAGCATAACCGGGCTTGGCTGCTCCCTCAATCAATTGCTGTCGTCTTCTTGAAGGTTCCATACCCAGGTCTCAACGAACCATGAAGTCGCCTTACTTCTTCGCTGGCGTTTTCGCTGCGCTTACCCAAGCAGCACCTACTGTGGACGAGACATACCCATACAATGGACCTGATATCCCCATCGGCGATTGGGTTGACCATACGATAAATGGCAACGCCAACCACACTGGTTTCATCCGTCTGGTTGAACCCCCAGCTGTACGTCCTGGCTATGTCAATGCTACCAACAACGTCAATGTCATCTCACTGTCATACATACCTGCCCAGAATGGAGGGGACACTGTTGGCATCAATATCCATTACCAAACGCCCTTTGGTCTTGGTCAGGCACCCTTGGTTAACTGGGGGACCAGTCGTACTGCTTTGAACAAGGTGGCTATCGGCTCAACCGAAACATACGACCGCACTCCTCCCTGCTCTCTAGTGCACATGACCCAGTGCAGTCAATTCTTTCACAACGTGCAGATAGAGCATCTTCAACCGGGTACAACCTATTTCTACCAGATCCCTGCTGCGAATGGTACAACCGAGTCTACTGTTTTGAGCTTTACAACTGCCCAAGCTGCAGGCGACCCATCTCAATTCAGTATTGCTATTAACAATGATATGGGATATACCAATGCCAATGGATCGTACTTTTACATGAACAAAAGCATGTATGATGAGGAAGGCCTCGCTTTCGTCTGGCACGGTGGAGATCTCAGCTACGCGGATGACTGGTACTCTGGCATCGTACAGTGCAACCTCACGGATTGGCCCGTCTGCTATAACGGCAGCAACAGTTCTCTGCCCAACAACGACACCAATCCCGAGTATTTCGACACACCTCTTCCGCTCCACGAGATCCCGAATCAAGGCAGTCCTCGTGGTGGCGATGTCGGCGTCCTCTATGAATCGAACTGGGATCTTTGGCAGCAGTGGATGAACAACATCACCATGAAGATCCCTTATATCGTGCTCCCTGGCAATCATGAGGTCACGTGTGCCGACCATGATAACCCTCCATATGTCCTATCGTCATATCTCAATGAGAACAAAACGAACACTACAATGTCTAACGACAACCCCAACGCCACGCTCACATATTATTCATGTCCGCCTTCACAACGCAACTTCACAGCTTTCCAGAACCGATTTTCTATGCAAGGTGATAAATCCGGAGGCGTCGGGAATTTCTGGCATTCATTCGACTACGGCCTCGTTCATTTCGTATCTATCGATACAGAAACGGACTATGCTAACAGTCCCGACAAGACATTCCGTGAGGATGTTGAGAAGGCTAAGAAAGAGAAAGAATGCAAGGGCAAGGATAAGGATGAGCCCAAGTGCAAGACTAAGACGGAATCGTTCACGTCTACTTCTACGTCTTCGTTGGCCTGTACACCGCTCCCGACAGATGACGAGTATGAGACAGATGATCTGGAGGATGAGACATATCTTCTGTCTGGGAAAGCTCACCCTTTACGAAACGAGACGTATGTCACTGATGCTGGGCCCTTTGGATACATTGAGGGTTCCATCCATGAAAACAGGGCATATGAGCAATATCAGTGGTTGAGGGAAGATCTAAAAAACGTTGATCGGTGTAAAACACCTTGGGTTATCATTATGGGTCATCGTCCCATGTACAGCTCCCACGATAACGCCAGCTATCATCTGCACCTTCGTGAGGCCTTCGAGCTGTTGTTCCTGAAAAACAAGGTTGATTTGTACATCGCCGGGTAAGGCATCCCCTCCAATTTTGTCAAGTATGTCAAGCTAATTGGTCATAGACACGTTCACTGGTATGAGCGTCTCAAGCCTATAGGAAACTGCTGGGTCGACAATCATTCGATCAAGAACCATAGTGAGACGAATATTTACGAGGTGAACCCTGGACAATCTATGGTTCATCTCATCAACGGCGCTGCTGGAAATATCGAGAGCCACGCTACCATTAACAAGTCCTTGCCCATACCCGACATAACAGCGCACCGTAACTTGACCAGTTTTGGCTTTTCCAAGTTGACTGTTTTCAACGCAACGACTCTGTCTTGGAAGTTTATCCAGGGTCATGATGGTCTCGTCGGTGACGAACTGACTGTGAAAAAGGATCCGAAATTGACCTGCAAGGATTACAAGACTTATAGCTCATCTAGCTCGTCTAGCTCGTCTGGTTCGTCTTGTTCTTCTGAGTGCTCCGGATCTGGGGTGCTGGCCTGGCTCTACTGCAATATCTATTGCGCCAGCTTCGGGGAGCCACTCAAGGTTTGAGCTTGGTACCTGTAGCTACAATACTCTTGCGAAGGTATTAACCTTATAAAGAAACTTTGCAGATCTGATAATTGCTGTATTATTTAGTGCTGTAAATGATTAGCTCATCCAATTGGTCAGTGATAGTCCAATTGGGCCAGTAAAATGAATACTGGGTATTGTGGTTTATACTTCTCCAAGGTCAGCCTTAGCGCTCAAGGCTATTGACGTTAGTGCGACGATACCTAAACTATTGAACCACAAACTCCTTTCTCTTGCTTAAAATGCGATTATTCTATCGCCAACTACTACTACCAAGCCGCCAATGGATACGAGAAGGACACTTGCGAGTTCTTCAAGGGTACAGTTAAGACTGACGGCCAGCAGACTCCATATCAATGGTATCAGGTCTGCTGCTTGGCCGATATGTAGTTGGGTTGATGCTTCTTTTCATCTGAGTATCAAGAGTAATGTCCATCTATGTTTTAAGAAGAGTTTAATACATTCGTAAGATAAAGCTACCTGCTAAAAAAATATGCTAGCCTTGCAATTTGCCAGAGATTACCAACCCAAAGTACCAGATAAAATACACAGAAATCCCAACTATGGTTTGCGATTTACAGCTTGCTCTTCAGCCCCGCACGAGCAGCAAGAACAGCTCTCTGCTTCTCTCCTCCATGCTCAACCTTGACAGGAGCGTCAAAAACCGTAGCATCAGGCTTCTCCTTTCGATCCTCAGTATCAATGTACTCCCTCTCACCCTCCCCAACATAAAGCTGTCTCGGCCTCCAGATCTTGACACCCGACTTGTTCAGCATCATCTGTCTCCAGTGCGCCAACCAACCAACACATCGCGGGACCGCAAACAAAACGGGATAGAAATCAAGCGGGAATCCCATGGCCTGGTAGATCAGACCAGAGTAAAAGTCCACATTGGGGTACAAGTTCCTGCTGCGCATGAATTCGCTCTTGCGCGCGTAGTCGGCGAGCGTGAGGGCTGTGTCGAGGAGCTTGTTGCGGCCGGTGACTTCGAAGACTTCTTCGGCGAGCTTGCGGATGGCTGTTGAGCGGGGATCGACGTTTTTGTAGACGCGGTGGCCGAAGCCTACGAGGACGCGTTCCCTTCTCTCGACGGCTTGCATGAAGGCGGGGACGTTCTCGGGGGATCCGATCTCGATGAGCATTCTGATGGCTGACTCGGAAGCTCCTCCGTGGGATGGGCCGTAAAGTGCTGCGCATCCTGCAGCAACGACACTATAGGGATCGACTAGAGAACTTCCAACTTGGAGGACCGTGGCAGTGGAGCAGTTGACTTCGTGGTCGGCGTGGAGAATGAAGAGCTTGTCCAAGGCCTTGGCGAGAACAGGATGAGGTTGGTATTCGGGCTCAGATAGGTTATCCAGGAGATACAGGAAGTTTCCAGTGTACGACAAGCCTTGTGCAGGGCGGTTGAACGGTCGGCCTTGTCGCATTCTGTACGACGCAGCCGCCAAAGTAGGAGCCTTTCCGAGGATTCGAAGAATCTGCTTGTCCAGCATCTTGAGGGACTCCATATTACCCGACGCAGCGTTGGTGTAGAGTTTCTGTCCCGCAAGCGAGGGATTGGCCTCCGGAGCAAAAGCTCCGAGTGTCGCAAACGCCGCGCTCAACATGGACATGGGATGAGAGTCGTAGCGGAACGACTTGAACATGTTCTCGATATCGCTATGGATATACGTGTGATGCATCACCTCTCCCTGCCACTCATCATACTGCGCCTTGGTAGGGAGGTCTCCGTAGATGAGAAGATACGCTGACTCGAGAAAGTTGCTCTTCTCGACTAACTGCTCAATCGGATATCCGCGGTACCGAAGGACGCCGTCTAGGCCGTTGATGTATGTGATTTTGCTCTGCACAACAGCAGTGTTCATGTACGCGGGATCAAACACCCTGAGACCCTGCGTAGTCTCATCTTCTGGGCGATCATTGCCTTGCTCGGCTTTGATCTTCTTGAATTCCGTCGCTGGGATGGAATTGTGAGTAATGGGGATCTCGTAGGTCTGGTTTGTCCTGTTGTCCACGACCGTGAGCGTCTCGCGACGGCCTTTGTTCTGTGCTAAAACCATGATTAAGATGATACAAGATGAAGGAAAGTGATTATGTCGGGTTGATGAATATAAGCGATGAGTCTTGATGATTTGAACTGGTTTTCAGAAGCAAACGCGTCAATGACACGTCACGTGGACGCCTACCTCGGCACGATAAGATAAGTGGAACTTGCTTAGTAGAGACCTCGGCCTCAGACTCAGAAGGTTTTGGCGGCATTTGAAGCGGGAGTGGAGCTACATTGACACTAACACTAATTGCAGCCTTTTACTGTACTATCAGTTAGGAGCTAAGTCACTTTGCTCTCTGTGCCTAGCGATTGCTACTTACCCTACAATTCTGACAAGAGATATTGATTAAAACAAGTCATTTCCAGACAAGTAACTGTATATCATTAAGTAATTTATCTATCGAGTTCAGAGACCTACTAGTAATTCTCTTCATCACCGCCTTTTAATTCCAATGTTAAATTTAAGAATCTTAAGCGTAGTCCCCTCAGTGGATTCAACTCGCGAATCCATCACACAAGAACTGTATCTTTATATCAGAGTTGCCGCAATCATCTTCATCTCAACTTCTGCTAGGTTACGTCCAACACACGCTGCCGGACTGTGACCAAAAGGCATAAAAGCTGTTTTCTGGCGGTCCGATAGCTTCTCCCATCTTTCAGGCCGAAAATCATGAGCATCCTGGCCCCAAATATCTTTAGACCGGTGAATAGCATAGATTGTGACGCTCAAAACCGTGCCAGGCGGGAAGTAAAATTCGGCTAAATGAACTCCCTTGGATCCAGGAAGAACCTCCCGTGGAAGACCGATCTCGAGAACACTGTGCAAACACATTGCCTCGTTAAGCACAGCGTCAAGATATGGAAGAGCCCGGACTTGTGAAAACGGCATTACTGTGGCAGAAACATGTACAGAGTCAATCTCGGCTTGCAACTTTTATAGCGAAGGGGTGAGGTGGCGAGGTAGTACATCATGGCGAAGAGGGTGTTGCTGACAGTCTCAATGGCCGCCATGAACAAGGTCAAGGACTCGGATGCAATCTCTTCAAATTTGAGCAACCCACCGTGTTCATCGCGCATTCGGAGCAAAAGTGAAAGCCAATCGTCATGATCGTCTTGCGCTGCGACCATGCGTTCCTTGACGTGGGCGGAAGTCACGCCGAGCAGGTTCTGAAGCCCATCTATTACTTCATCTATTACTTTATGTAAGAAGGGATCAGGCAGGTGATGTGCATGAGGCTTCAGCCAGGAAAATACGCCGAGAGTAGAGACGCGGAACTCCTTTGCGCAAGAGTGTTCATCATGGAAACGTAAGACCCGGGCCTTCTGTCGATCTTGACCAGATCAGAGCCATGCTCGAGCATCCCGAATGGTTCGCTGAAGAGAAGATCACCGGTGATGTCAAAGGACAAGAGTCTAGTTGCAAGATCAGTACATACCAGTCAAGATAGTCTCGCAAAACACTTACGTGAACCGTCGTTCCAGACGATTGGCTACTTCGGACCACGTAAGTTTCTTTGGCTTATACAGTAGAGGGTGGACGCTGACCATACAAGATGTAATCCGCTATTTTCTGCTGAACTTGGCCTGTGTCAAAGTGGGATACCAAGTAAGTCACGCTAAACTACCACTATGATGTCTCCAAGGTTTGTTTTGACGACTCCCGACGCAGCTTAGTATATCTTTCTGTCACCAGGTAACAGCATCGGAGCTGTCTTGGGTCTTCTCGAAGCAACAAAATGTTCCGTTTGGGTTCATCCCGTCGACTACCCACCGTATCATCTGGTAGAAAGGATCCAACAGACCCGAGAACTGCGTATTCTAGAGATTCCCACTGTCGCTGAACTCCTCGACGCGTCTAACTCACCTAACTATCCTTACATCAAGACCTACGACGAAGCTATGGGTGACACGTTCTGCATTCTCCATACATCTGGTACCACAGGACTGCCGGAGCCTATCTATCTCAATAACGGCTTGCTTGCTACCATGGACGCCGCTCGTATTTTACCGACCGTTTGAGGGTGATGACGGCGCTCGTTCGTGGGCGACCTTGTATGAAAAGGGTGATAGACTGTATTCCCCTTGTGTACTTCTTCATGTAAGTCTTGGCAGGCACAACGGTTTAGGGAGAAGTGTATCTGACGTTGAAGACAGGGTCCTGGGATCTTCATGAACCTTTTTGCGACGTTCCTTTTTGACACGCATAGCGTCATGGGTCCCGTAGGCGTTCACCCTGACATGAATCTGCTTGCGTCACTTGCCGACCACGGCAACATTGATATTTGGCACTTCATGCCTGTGTACGTCAATGAACTGGGCCAACACCCTGAAGTACTAGAGAAGCTTAGATGATCGAAGTTTATCGGAGCTGCTGGAGGTACGTTCCAAACTTATTTCGCCAAACTCTCAGTTGACAAAATCTCTTCTAGGTCCTGTTAGCGCAGAGCTCGCCGCCAAGGTGAATGAGGTAGTACGCGTTCACAATCTGTTTGGTACCACGGAAGGCCTTTACATGGGTGACATGTTGGTGGACAAGGAAGACTTCCTGTGGGTTTCGTTCCATCCGTACACCGGGTTTGAGTACCCGGAGATCGAGAAGGGCTTGTTTGAGCAGCTTGCTGTCAAGAATGAGCACTGGGCTTTGCATCAGGGAGTCTTCAGATACTTTTCCTGATGTTGATGAATTTAACTTCAAAGATTTATTCATCAAACACCCGAGAAAGCCTAACCTCTGGCTTTACATGGGTAGAAACGACGACATCATCTGTTTAGAAGATGCGCAGAAGTTTTCTCCCATTGAGACGGAGAACATGATCTGTGCTCATCGTAGTGTCAAAAGATGTGTCATGGTAAGTGACCCTGAACCTATGCAGTATGGCCTAAGTGCTTACATGCTTTACAGATTGGAAACGGGCAGAAGTTTGCCTGTCTGATGGTAGAGCTGAGACATGATATGCCAAGAGACGCGGAGACCATTCAGGGGCTGACGGAAAGCTTTGGAGATATCATTGACCAAGCAGATCAGAATCAATTGCTGAGGGACTACTTGAGAAGGGATTAAATCATTCTCGCAGATCCGAAGCGCCCTCTCCCACTCACTGAGAAGGGGACTATTTCGCGTCGAGCTGCTTTAAAGGTCTTTGAAGAAGAGATCGATACGTTTTATCGCTTGGAGGGAGAGGCGACTGTGGTGTTGGCCAACGTACAGCCGAAGGGGCATAGAGTTTGTCATGAAACACAATTTAGATATAGCTTCGGTACTTTGACGCGTCTGCCAGTTCTCTCATATATATAGGCAAAGATCATTCTCAAAAGCTGTCTGGTAACTATATAGTGACATCCAGTGGATTATCCAACATTCTTCCCATTGCATAACACTCAGCCTTTGTGCCCTCCGCCGTGTATTGAGAGTTAAAGGTTGACTCGACTTGATCACCTGAAAGATTCCGAATTTCACCGCCCATCGGATGTCTGATAGAAACCAACCGCGGATCACGGAGGCCGTTTCTCAATGCCTGGAGAGCATCTCGCCACAAGCCAACTCTGATGTGAACCATGAAGAGCGAAATCTCTGATTCAACGTCGAGAGTTGTAGCTAACGCCTTAAGTTCCGTAGTAGTAACTGAGATCTCGATGAGATGAATGGAGCGCAAGTTAGAGCTCGGTGGCCACACAAATCCGATGCCAACTGAGGTCGGAGCAGCGAGCATGGACTCGAGCCCCAGGCTGTACCAAAACTCGCCGAGATTTATATCAGCATGGGTGATGCATCCAGCGTTGAAGACTGCACCCAGGTACTCATTTATGACCTCCATCTCACTCGCTGTCCTGATCGTGTTATTATCCTCTTCATTTCTAATCCATGGGCCACAACCGCTGCGGCACCGTGGCCGGAAGCTGAACTGTATTGGATCAAGTCGTTTGATGGCATCTGATAACTTGTCTTTTTCATCTCTTCTAAGTTGCAGAGTCATGTAATCCGGCGCAGCTGATACATGGATGGAGAGATGATCGATGAGCAGTGAATCTACAGCGCCTAGGGCTAAAGGAATATCGACGAGTAGTCTCGTCGGAACCCCAGGCCAGATGAATTCGTTTGGTCGGATCCAGCGTGCTTCCTCCCATAGCATTGGCCGCGTAAGGACTTGGATTAGGATGTCAGCCTGAGCTGAGGTGTCTTGTTCGTCAACTGGATCGAACTTGCGGCCGAGATCATAGTTGTTTGTGAGAACGCCATCATGGAGCATGACGTGCCGGATGTTTGGCAGCCTTGTCAACATCTCAGCTATCCCGATTTCAAAGGCGCCGCCCCCATGCAAGAGCATCTGCGAATCATAACTTTCCTTATACCTTTCAAAGGCACGTTGTAGAATACCGTCCGTCCAGTTTGTCTGGGCCGCCTTGTTGTGTGTTATCGAAGGCTCTGTTGATTCGTTATGGATCTGAATGTCGTTGGCGAATCGTTTAATCAGGTACTCAAATGTAATTTGACCGCCTGAGTTGATTTCAATTATGTCATCAAACATTTGACTTCGTTGAATCCATTCAGACCAGACGGCTGCGGTGAAATTGTCAAGACTGGCCGCGATCCATGGATGATAGAAATGTAGCCGCACATTGACTTCCGGTACTCCTTCTGCGATTCGAGGATTGTGAAGCACTTGGCGAAATAACCTAACACTCTCAGGACGGCTGAAGTCTAAAGTGCCGCAGGGCCGAACAGCATAATCGCTGCACAGCTGGTAAAACCTCTGGCAGGTCAATCTCAGCTGGGAGATGGTGTCGCTCCGCTGCTTTCGTTCTGTAGTCTTGCAGAGTCTAAAGACAGTAAGCAAGATTTCATTGGATAAATTGAGAAAGAACGGCATGCCCTCAGGAAATGCAGTTATAGTGGTGTTGAATGAGGTGTAGATATTGTCTAGTGTTTACTCGAACAATGCGGAGTAATTGAGATGCCGCTTGTTCCGCGGCGGGGAAAACTTTAGGGCCTTTGTCCTTGGAGACAAAAAGACCTGGGCATGTTCAGTTTATTTTTGTGGATCTTTGCCATGGTTCATTTTGGCACCTAAGCGACTGGACATCTTTTATTGGACAGGGCTAACGTTCAACGAGCTCCACAAGCTACGGCGAGTTTTCTGTTCAACTCAGAGCGGATTGACAATGAGATCAAGATCTCATATTTTATTCATAGATGAACATACAGGTCATCGATTGAGTACCAGCCTACCTCTTGAACATTGCTCTTTGATTTAGTTATTTGTTCATTGCAGAGTAGCGTATTGGTTGTTCGGCGATTGACTATATAAAGTACACCAGCATCTGCTTATCCTCGATTCGTTCTTTAACCTACAACAACACAAACTTCCAAACTCAGCAACGCACTTAACTACACACTCAACTACACACTTAACTATATACTTAACTATATACTTAATTATATACTTAACTATATACTTAACTATATACTTAACTATATACTTAACTATACACTTAACTATATACTTAACTATATACTTAACTACACACTCAACTACACACTCAACTACACACACAGTAGCAACAATTTCTACAGAAAGACTTACCATGAACGCCAATCAAGTCCCCAGATTGCTCTCGAGTGATTGTATCATTAAACACATGGCTCTTGCGTACCACAATGAGCCCGATGTGCTTGCCTTGCGGATGACACCCCCTTCGGGCCCTTGGGGTTGCCCCGGGTGGTATGTGTCTACTAATTTAGACGCAGGCACCAAGGGTAGCTATGAATTCGTCGTCATTGATAGGGTGGTATATAATTACCCTATCCTCAGTGATGCGACCGATGAAAATCCTCGGTCTGGTGGACCAATCCGCGACAAGCTTGCACTTGAAGCCTGCAGGGAACTCAACAGTGCAGGCTACGAGATTCTAGCTTGGCAACCATACTGTGACGAGTTGACGCCTTTTATGGATCAAGAGGGGAATACTTTGCCGATTGAAGGACGTCCCATTATTACAAACTGGCCAGAACTAGGAGTCACACGCATGCGAGAGCAGAATTTGCAACTCAAGAGTAAAGCCATACAGAGAGAGGCTGAAGACATACAAGATAAATTATGGGACTCTCGAAGATCAATTAACGTCTTGCAAGCTCTCTCGTCAACTGACACAAAACAAGAGTTCTTGGGCAACAATGTTAGAGAGAATGTAAAAGAGCTCAGCTCTCTACATAAGGAGGTAAAGGACTTGGAGGCTGCCAACAATAGTGGAAACAAGGACCCACGTATGGCGGAGCTTCTGGAAGGGTTGCTCAACAAGCTGGCACTTTCTGCTGAAAGAAGGAGGGCCGAGTACGCTAAGGAACAGACCACTGTGGAAGAGAAGAAGAAAGCCTTTGCCAACGCATTGAGCCACGAAGAGAAAGTGCAAAAGCGCTACGATGAGGAGTGTGCCGGGTATGGCCGGTCACGACGTCTTGTGGAGATTGCTAGTGATTTGAAGGACGCAGATAACACGGTAAATGCGGAAATAGCGAGATGGCGTGCGCAGTTTTGGATGGACGCGGCTAAGCAGAACCTTTTGAAGTAGATAGTTCTAACCTTTTGGAGTAGATAGTTATAACCGAGACTTGGATGTAGAACGATAGCTTGAGAACACGTCGACCATTGCTTTTTTAGAATACATATTGAACCAATATTGGATCTTCTTTTACCGAATACTATTTCTCTGATGGCGCACATGATTTGTGCCTCGGAGCATTTCCCACGTGAAGTGTCATCGTCATGACTCGAGCCATTCCCATTAGCGCAGGTCTAGCGATCCAAGTGCGAAGTCAAGCAACGCCACGACTCAGTTCTCATCGGCAGTGCAACTTTCTCGACCAATCGCAACTGATAATTCGAACCATTCGCGAGAAACTGTTCCTGAGCTAACAATCGTAGTTGAACCCTTTTGGACTCGCAGCTCCAATAGACATTCTGTTACGGGTGCGCTCAGACATTTGGACACCGGCTACCTATGACGCTTGACCGGATCGACAACTGGGAAAATCCACTGCCGAAGCATCGATTCCGTCACATGCACTGGGACTGTCTCACTAAAACGATCTGCATCGCCCCTCTCTCCTTTTTGTGTCCCCGTTCCCTGGCCCTGGTCCTTTGAACTTCCCTGTTCTCTTTCAACTCCATATCCGTTTTGAGATGCGCCTCTTGAGATGAGGCCAGGCGTTCTAACTGCGCTGCTTAGTTTGCTGATTTTTACGGGCGTGAACGGGCTAAATGTCGAAACGAGTCTCCCAGATTGCGCGGTTCGTGAACAGTCGGACTTGTAGTAGTTCTTGCTGACTTTGGTAGCAAATATGTTTTCGCACGTCGGTCAGCCCCGATTGCAGTGAGCCGAGTTGCTTTTGTGCCTCCGCTACCTTTCAAAATGACTTGATACCCTGCTTGAAGAGCCATTGCGAGATTCCACAAGTCTTTGGTACGTAGTGGTTTCAATTGGATTCTGGCTATCATAGGTTGACTGATTGTGACAGCTTCGTTGCGATATCTTGACCAAACATGCGAGCGACCACGACGCGATCGACGGAATGACGCCTGGCCGTACCTTTCGATACACATTCTTTGCATTCTTTGTGCAGTCATTCGAGTTTATACAAAGCTGTTCATTGTCAGGAAGATTTCGCCTGAAGATTGGCTGTCGTTCACTTCTTTCGTCATTTACATTGTCTACTTTGGCATTGGACACCATGGTAAGGGCCAATTAAACTATCCCGATGCGCTGAGGAAATGGCTGATGCAATGCAGCGTTGATGTCGGCATTTGGGCAGGATATTTGGTGGGTCAACGCTGGTGATCTATCCCATGCACTCAAGGTATCATACACTGTTTGCTTATCTGATGGTGTAAGCTAACTTGACAAGCTGTTCTGGATTGATTGCCCTGTCTACACTCTGCTTCTCGGAATGACAAAAGTCACAATAATCCTGTTCTATATCCGTCTGTGTCATGTTTATACACTATTTTGCCAACTGTGTTGGGCTTGCATTCTTATCATAAGTCTAAGCACAGGCGTTTTCATGTCGCTGAACATCTTCCAATGCACGCCGATACGATGGAACTGGGATCGATTTGGCGGAGAAGATGTCGACTTTTGGTGCATGGACTTGAACAAGTTGCAGTGGTCAATTAACATCACCAACATCGTTTTTGATGTCGTGGTGCTGGTGCTTCCAATACCACTCATATGGAAAAGTATGTCCAGTCGCAATTTTAAAAGATACAAGTTAACATTGATAGCGAAATCAACTTTCCGCCGAAAACTCGGTATTGTCTTGATGTTCAGCCTGGGAGTCGTCGTCCTCGTCGCAAGCTGTCTCAAAATGCGCTACAACGTTCTATACGGCCACTCAAACAATATCACATGGGACTACATGGACCTAATGGTTTGGGCCGGAATAGAAAGTTCAGTCAGCATCGCTGCGCCATGCTTGCTAACAGTTCGATTGTTTCTGCACAAGGTGTTCCCTACCTCGTTCGGGCGGATATTCGCCTTTGGGTCGCACGTTGAAAGAACATTGGATCAAGAGATAAAGGAGGAGGAGGAAGAGGTTGCGCAGTGGGCGGCTGATGTTGAGATGACTAGTATTTCGGGGGTTGGCGTCGCGAGACCGAGACGAGCAGCTATAAGTTTGGGGGAAGGATTTGGGGATGGAAGGAGGACGAAAAAGAAGAGGGCTATGACGGAAGCAAGTCGGATCTTGAGGAGCGTAGATGAGATACCCCTGTCACCGTAGTTACCCGTAGAATATGAACTAATGTTTTCTTTATTGAAATGGTCTGTACGACAAGTTCGTGGCGCTTGAATATAGTCAACTTATCGTAACGGCCAATAAAATGACAGAGCCAAGTCGTTGCTATTACAGGTTCTTAATAATCCCATTTACGGCATCTGATCCAATCGTGGCACCTGCACCAAAGGTAATTGCGTGGCCTGCCCTTTTTGCAAAGTCTTTGCCGTGGTGATGCTGTAAAGACTGTTACTCATGCGTTGGGGAAACAACCTCCTGTAGTTGAATAGACAAACCTCTTCATGTTCGTGTGCATCTTTGGGTTGAGGCGGCGGCGCCGATTGATCCTTCTTTTCCTATAGTAAATTAGTTAGGCGAATGCCCATTGTTGAGTAGATTACTGGGGATTCTTACTCCTTTGTCTTTTGTTTCGGGCATTATGACTGTCGCTGAGCTCTTATGTTGCTGGGACGGCGTAAGGTTAATCTCTGGGTCTTGTGGTGGTGAAGAGTAAGTACATCAGAAGAAGCTCTGCAAAGTGTTATATACAGCTCTCACTACTGATCTTGGGAATCTTTCAGCTAGGGACTGTCAGCAATGACGTGCCTACGGTGATTATGACGAGTACTATGTCATAGGGAAGAGGATTAGGTTTTGCGCAACGGCTAATCGGCACGGATTACATAAAGCACAGCACCAGAATGTAATAGTGCAAAGTATATTATAGGGGACTATGTCATCACTTTCTAATATACTCCAGAACTGGGCTTTTTGATCTCTGCTACAAGGAACAAAAGAATCGCAAGCTAACAAAAGTCGATGCGCGATGAACCCAGAGGTAGGAGATCTGTCACTCGAGAGAGGCGGCACCAGAAGGCAGTTGAAACAAGACGGTCGAGGATTTACACGATTCTTATTTCACTGAGCCATTCGCCATTTAGTCAGAATACGAGTAATAGCTCCATCTTTGCCGTTCTTGGGAACCTTTATCCTCTCACATGCTGACGCCCATTACTTTAATAATTCTTGGACTATGTCCACACAAAAATCATGTGGCAGGTTTATGAAGTTATGATGGCAATGCCAATTTCTTCATCCCTATTGCCCCCGCTATCATTGCCGTTTCTTCTAGGGGCCCATTGACATCGTTCTCTATCATTGAGAGGCGCGAACTTGTTGGGAATGACATGGAGTTATTTAGTAGGGCAAGATGACACGCGCGCAACTTCAATTTCTTCTTCTGGGCCACAGCCATACTAATTCGCGATGGCTGTTAAAAAGTGTTGTTTATACTTCTATAATTAGCGAAGGCAGTACCATCCTGCTCCACAATCCGCCTCAGGACAAAAAACCCCATCTGCGTAAGACTCCTCTGCGCAAGTATCGGATTGTAAAGGGGACCGACATCGATAAAAAGAACAGGATCATGGTAGAAGTATACAACCAATAGGACTGGGTTAGATTAGTTAAGATTGTGCAGCAGGGGGGCCCTGAAATTAGCGCAGGTAGCTCATGATGACTCTATTCACACGGACACTCAATGGAACAAAGGAACAGAAACAACATAATGGCGTTCTTTCAAACACACAGAAATGGGGTTCTTCACTGTTCGCCGAAAACCTGAAGCCTCTATGTACAATGTTTAGCAATAGGGACAAATACTAAATTCGAACACAACTCGTAAACGCATCTCCGACCGTACATTGCGACTTGAGTTGCTGCTAAATACTAGGTGTGTTCTTGTAATCTCATTTAGCAATTTTGAACACAGGTTATATCCTTCAGTCTTCCGTGGCCAAGGGTTTACTATATAATAGGATACTTTCACCTGCCATTAACAGTTCCATCATCCATCTTCAAAGACCTCAAACCCCTAAGCCACCAGACTAACCATTAAGACGCAGTACCTCATCACTTCAATCAACGACAATTCATCATGAGCACCCAGGTTCCTTCGCCGAAGCTAAAGCTGGCCACTGCCGCTCTGGAATCTCTCGACGGCATGTCTTACATTCACGTCCTACATGGCTTCCGGGTGTGCTATCCAATCTTCTGGGATATTGCCCGGGACTCCTTTACTGAGCAGGATAAAGTTCGAGGTCTCCAGAAAGCACTTGCCAAGCTGCAAGGCTTTGATTACGGAGCAGAGTCTTCCAATGGTTGGTCCGTTGATCAGAAAATCTGGGGAGTCGGCCTTGCTATCGTCGTCATCGAGGACATTCTTTCTTCGCCCGATGTGGCCAAAGCCTTCCATTTCGCCAAGATGGATGTGGAGGATTGGATGGAGCACGCCAATCTCCTGGAGCCAAATATGGATGTGTCTAGGTACATGCGCCCCATGCAGGATCCCTTGCTACGCCAGGAGGTGCTGGCGAGTCATTATCACTGGCTCGAGTTCGATTTACCCGAGGCTCCTGAACATCTGCAGCAGTTTTTACCCAAGCTAGAGCGAGACACATCGGTCGAAGAGCCTGAGGAGAAGGAGACTGATTCTATGGAGGGAACTGAGAGTGGACATGTCGACGAGATCGCGGATTCTTTCTGCAATATCAAGATCGATTGATTATCCAATGCCTAGATATATATTGATGGTTAGATATTTTCTCCAATGCAATTACATACCTACCATAACTTCATACGTTCCAAATATTGCTTATTGTAGGCTCTCTATTCGTACTGTGTATTTTCCCTGCTTGATTATCTTTAATTTTAATGCTTGGTATTACGGTGTATCTCTACTTTTTATGTCTTTCGAGGGCTCTAGCACGAAGCCACCGATTCGTCAACGGGGTCGCAAAGGCGGTGGTCATCATTTGCTCATCATATTCTCTTCATCCTTTGAATACAACCTGAATTCACAAGTAACAAAGATATGATTCATACTCCCCCCTGCCCCCTCTACCAAACCTCATCATCAACCATAACCTAGTTCGGTCTCATCGCCCCTCAATCGTCCCCAACCGTGTAGATAGCAGTAGCAAGGTACTCAAATTGGATACTCAATCCAGTCTCGCCGCAACATCCCAGGTAAAAGCCACTCTCGTCAACAGCCTGGTCTCCAGAAGGAGCAAGGTGATAGATCCAGAATTGCTTGAATGCTGACTTTGGATCAATGAAGAGTGGTGTAATCTGGAGCCTCGGGGGGCGATCAAACTTTGTCTTGAAGGTGAAGCGGGTTGGTCGGCCATCGGCGTATCTGGTGATGACACCTTTGCCGGCTTCGACTTCACCGATGCTACCGTGCTTGGTGTCGCGGACTGTGCCTAATTTAGAAGGTTAGTATCTACAAGTATAGGGCCGGATGTATTGCTTGATGTACCTGTTGCGCTCATGGTTTCTCTTTGGGCAGTTGGAACTTGTTTGAAGTTAAATTGGTGTTTGGAGGAAGAGAATTTCTAAAGTCAAAGAGGATGGGTGGTCCAAGCCTTATATATTCCTCGGGATAACACATGTTAGAAGCTCTGCCGTCTACCTCCTCCAAGGTTTTGTCCCTATGGTGGCTATCTTGTCTCAGCTGAAAATCCAATGACATCATGTGAGTATGCCGCCGTGATGCCAGAGTGTCTCATGCGGTAACTAAACCCCGCAGATACGAGAATTTTGCGTCGGCAGTTTCTGGTTACGGCCGATGAGAGCGAGAGATGCAACCCAAGAGACATCCTCCCTGAATCCATGACGAGCAGAGATCGGGTGGAAAGTGCTGTTTTATCTTGCCCTGCCCAAGATCGGAGCTACGCTCGTCGCGCCCCGAGACACGGCACGATGAGACACGGCCTGGATCTCGACTTTCATCCCTAGCTTGTATGATTTTTATGACTTGTCACCTTATCAGACGAAGGTGATTCGACTTCTCAGCCGGCGCCAGCCACTAGTCGAAAGAGCACAAGGAGATTTCTACTACACTCTATCACTGGGATTACCATTTTCTGATCATCCGTGTTCACATTCCGCTCAGTTATCAGATTACGGAGTTCCCGTGTCTCACTACCCCTCTTGACCGCCATCATGCACACCTCCAAATGTAGTAATAGGGCTTTCAGCTGTCGGGCCTCAAACACTCAAGACTTTTCGATCAGCAACTACTCCGTAACTAAGAGGACGACTTCCCTGTTTTCATCATTCGGGATACCCACACGATGGTAAAAGCCGTGTATGCAAGGGGTCATCCGTAATGCAAATTCTGCAAACTGAGACGCTAGGAACAGGAGTCCGAAGAGATGCGTTGTCTGACACAATGCAATCCGCGAACTTGAAATAGAGTCACTGTTACGCATCCTGACCCTTCAGCTGTCGTCGGCTTGTATCTCCCGGATATGTGGATCAAATAGGGGAAGGAATGCGGAGACTGGCGCAAAGACGATACTATCGGCATTTGATCCCATGTCTTTGATAGACTGCGCTTTTTTCGTTCCCGTGGTCTCCCTGAATGCGCCATTGGTCTCAGAATGATGCATTGATGGCAGTCATCTTATACAGTAAGAGAGGTGATATCTTCAGTGACCTAATGATATCGAGGCAATCTGGGTCGGATAATTGAAGCATTCGTGATCTTCATCGCACACATTCAAGTCCTCGTTGATAGGGGGCGTCTCTGAATGTGATGTAGGCTACCACTTCTTACCACTTTCTGAATCACTACTCATATCATGCCTAATCGTGCAGCTGTATTCTGTGCTTTCTCCCTTCTCCCTCCTAAAATTGTTTATGCCTAGCTCGAAGCGAGAAGGGGAAATTAGTATAGGGGACTTGCATGAAGTGAAAGCGAGAGTGAAGATGAATGAAAGGGCAGAGCTCTTGCATTCCAGGTGAGATTGCCAACTTTCTCTCGCTCTGCAAATTGACTGGCATCTGTGGAATACCTGAATCAAACCGCGCACCTGACCTGAAGTATCTGCAGCAAGCCAAAAGGGCGCTGGCAGTAGCGTGACCGGTGGAACACTTCATCACGAGAAGGTGAGGTAGGTAACAAAGAAAGTTCGGTGAAGTCAACCAGGGCCATTTACTCATTTTAATCGCAATTAACACCCCATATCATGAAAAGAATGTTTAGTTGCACTTCCAGAGGTTGCTTCTCTGACGTAGATTATCCGCTACGTAGCTGACTGTCGGTTAGTTCTGCTCCAAAGTGGAAGCTACCAAATCTTTGGCCTAGTTGTTGTCGTTCAGATATGATTGACTTTGATAAGAGTGTTATTTTGAGTTGATAGTCCCCACAGCTGATGGCTCAGATCACGCGCCTCACACACTTTCAGATAATTTCGAAACGCTAACCAAGAAGTTTCAATCACTCAAGCAAAGTTTCACCACATCATTGAAATCTCAGTTTGTACAATGTCAATTTGGTCCTACTAATAACAAATAGAAGAAAAAACAAAACACCCGCTAATAAACTCCAAACCAATCCTTCCTTAGTCCTGGACTCTTTACTCTTCAGCTCTGTGACCCATTTGAGGCTCCTTTCTTCCATTTTGTGATGAGAACAATCTATTGTCATACTGAGCAGCTTGGAAGCCTCGATCAAGTTGGAGTCTCCAATGTAAGACCAGCCGATCGTTGCTCTTAGCAGTATTTGGTACAGCTGTACTTTCTACACCTATGGAGTACAGCTTCTTGACCCCCAAGAGAGGCAAAGTCAGGAGATGCGTCTCGCATTGTCTGGAGCTCTTCTACTCACAGCTTCTAGCCTCTTAGTTTCTCCCATTGTGTGAGCTCTTCTGTCTCTTCTCGTCCTCTATCTCCTTGATCTTCTCGAGGAGCAGGCTCAGCTTGAAGAACTTCATGTCATCATCCTTCTTGTCGACGAACTTGACGAGCTTGGCCACCTTGAAGAGATTCATGTCATTATCGATGAGCTGTGACATTTCTGGGTGCTTAAGAATGTGTCGAAACTCATGCGGGATGCCCACTCGGTCCATCTTGCTCTCAAACTCTTCGCACAATACCTGGGCTTCGTCATCACTCGGTGAATCGCGAGTATGATCCTCAGCATCATGCTGGGATGAATGGATGTTGCTTTCTTGCTTCTCAAGCTGGGTTGGGTCGGTATTCTCCTTCTTCTCGCAGATATCGCTGGACTTACCTTTAGGCTCAAGTGAGGAGTTAGCAGACTCACCTTCATGACTCCCAGCCTGCCATTCCAAAAAGGCGGCGTACTGCTTGGCATCAACAAGTACCATTCCATTCGTGTCCCAAATTGGTTCCTCCCAGGCGGTTCCCCAAGCACCATCGACCTGAAAGATTTCATTGAGCTCGTCTCGCCCAACGCTACTACGACTCTCAGGACAACCCTTGGACTTAGAAGACTCCATTTCTTTGGTCTGATGTCGACTGTTTGGGATATTTGTGATCTTTGTTTGGAGAGGGAACTCGGTGGATAAGGGGTGAAAAAGGTAGTTGATATACTGAATTGGGAGATGAGAAGATGACTGCAGGGCGATTGAGACGGTTCTTATACTTAGACTTCCAAGGCTTTGATTCTATGCTGAACGTTCTTACAACAGCATTGAGGGTCTTTTGAACGGGTGTTCAACGTGCGGACAAATGAACAGAACAGTGATGAATAATGGAGTACATGTGAATATAAGGCCAATGGCAGATCTACGCAATTTTCCAAGGGAAAAATCATTCATCCATCGACCAGTACTCAGCTTTGAGTGCATATGCTGTTCTATTGGTTGTGCAGTTATACTCCATCATGTAGTTCCATATCAGCCTCGTTGTCGGCCAAACTATAGCGAACAAGGCCATGCCTACTGTTCCCACTTCAGTCACGTTCACCGTGGGTAAGCTCACAATTGCGAGTTAGAAGTGTCATTTGTAGTTGAGACTTGTGGTTCCGAGCTTATTCTGACAGAAAACCTAGTTCAATAAGATCAGAACTAGAGAGCTTAACTACGCAGTAGCGTATCTAAATATAATCTTTTAAAGTAGTAAAGCGAGGTTTAGAAATCGGTCGGTAACTGCGATAGTACAATTAACCTATATAACAAGCTCTTCTATTCTTATAGTTCTAACCAACAGGAAGTCCTCCGAGGAATATCTAGCTAGGGCAATCGCGGGCTGAATGGAGTAAGGTAGCTGCAAGGGACAATCCACTATCACCATGGCAAGTACCAGTACCACCGTAGCTATAAATACAGCCATAGGTTAGAGAAATAGCTCGTGATAGGCCAGGGTAATTAAAAAAGACTTACCACTGAGAGTTACCACCACAGCAAGAGTCTTTGATATAACCAGTGACCCAGCCTGCTTCCCACCGCTTGATATGGGTGTTGTCGAAGAAATATTTGTTAAAAACACAGATCTTGGCATCACCGAGAGACCATTCAAGGATGCTTCGAGCAGGAAGGTTGGACAGCTGATCAGGGTTACTGTTTTGCAGGTTGTTCTTCAGTTTGATGGCGTCGTTGGAGGGGAAGTTTGCGCCGGTGTTGCAACCTCGTTTCTCGAGGGTGGGTGCCTGTTCAGGGGCGTCGGTCACGTTGTCTGGAGCGTAGGCTCGGAAGAGGACACCGCCTTCCTGAAGCTCTTCGAAGATCACCTCCCGAGATGAGGCTTCCTTGGTCGGTAGGGTTGCAGAGAGGGCACCGAGAGGCATCAGAGCCAAAAGGGCGGTGGATAGAGTTGAATACCGCATGACAGTAGGACAAGAGGGATGGAATGGGAATGAAACTTGACAGAAGATAAGAGCTGTTGCATCTCCCTTCAAGAGGGAGGATCTTTGGCTACTTATACCCAGGAGCTACTGGGGTTCCCTCTCAAATTTTCAATCAGGCAGGTAAAAATAACGATCTCACAAAAGTTCCAGTCCTAAATAAGACACGAAAGTGGACTGGGATAACTAGTGGCAACCATTGACATTCTTCGATTCTGCTAGGTCTCATTGGCGAGACTAGACTCTAAACTCAAGGATTCGGCCCGGGCCGATGTCACTTGAAACTGCATAATATTAAGCCTATTGTCGGATTTATTTGACGCGACGACTTGTACACCGCATCTTTCATCAGCTGAGAATTCATAGCCTTTTGATTGGCTCATGAACTCGGGCGGCCGGCCTGCATGATATAACCGGAGATTTTCAACTGACTGAACACAATGTACTTTAGATAAGCAAAAAGGGGCAGAACACAAGTCATCAAGGCAGCCATTTATAATTAAATTACTTAAGCTAGGCCCCCTAGACTTCTATTTCCTACTTGGTTCATTTAATATATAATTGATAGTGAGCTTGATATGTAAATACAAAAGCTATGGCTCGCGCATCGGCATTCTATATCCCATGTTCAAGATCCTCATATTTGATGAATTTTATTTTACACTTCTGGCCCATTTATACCACCTGACCTTCCTAAATGGCATTTGAGAACGGCCGCCTCAGCAATTTGTAAGGTGGTTCTATGGCTTAGTCAACTTCAAAGCGCATGCAAGAGCGGCCGCCTCTAAGAAACAACCCACATTTTCCATCCAGAACTGATTCCTAAAAGACGCCTTACATATCGCAGGAATATAGTAGACGTACTCGCAAACATACAGCACCCAGTAAAGATAATAACCCAATAATACGACGACGCATTCAGAGACTCGGCAGCAGACGAATGTTGCAGGGCACTGCTGTTGTGAACAAGTAGACCGCCGATGGGGCCAGCGAGCACGTTTCCAACACCCTTGCCGAAGTTGAGCAGGCCAAAGACGATCGGCCCGGCCGTAGCGTCGTCCGTGACGGTCGTGCTCATCCTTGCCCAAATAGCAGTGAAGCCGGCACCAAAGAAACCATAAAGGATGGTATAGCCGATTAGGACGGGGAAATAATCTGCCAGCCTCCACATAGTAACAGTCGTCACGGCAGCCACCAGCGTAGAGGTACTAGCAAGTACATCAAGTGGTACTTTCCGGTCCGAAAGATATCCGAAGGCAAACTGCCCTGTGACCTGGGATACGCTCATGACGGCGAGAAGCACGGGCCCAGACCTTTCACCGAGATCGAGAGAGGTGGCGAAGGATGGGAGGTACAATGAAGGGAAGAAGTACCCAAAGCCCTGGAATAAGTTGGATATAGAGTATAGCCAGAAGGGAGGGCTTTTGAAGAAGGACCAATTTGTTTTCGGCGCATTGACGTGCGCGGAGGGAGGCAATCGGCCGTCAAGAAATGGGATCAGAGGTCCTGTGAGAACGGCTAGGCTAACAGCAACAGCGCGGAGCGTCGTCTGATAGCCATACTTGGAGAGGAGTGCCTGCACTACGAACGGCATGACAGCGCCAGAAACTCCAGATGCGCCACAAAGTAAGCCGTATGCCATTCCGCGGCGAGCGATCCAGTACTCATTTACCATCATTAGAATAGGGTAGTAAAGAATAAGAAACCCAACACCATAGGCGACACCTTGCGTCAGGATAAGAGTCCCGAGCGTGTTGGCAAAAGAACCAGCTACAAGTCCGCCGATACAAATGGGCCCTGTTCAGCGAAACGCGTTAGTCAGAGATCGACAATAAATTAATTGACATACAGCCAACCCAGACCATCTGCCGTCGCCATCGTTGGTATTTCTGGATAAAAGGCAGAATGAACGGAGCTCCTATGTAGCCAAGACCAGAGGCTATTGTGCCGACGACACTGATGTACGGACTGCTGGCGAAAGCTGGGATTCTCGAGTAGTAGTCTTGAAACACACCAAAAGACAAGGGAAATCCTACAGATAGTTAACCGGAGTAATTTTACCAAGGGAGAAAGAACTACCCCATAGGAGAGTCTCAAATACGAATGCTGCGCCAAGTAGTCGCCATGCTGCAATCCCTCCGTCTACGGGGGCTAATTGTGATATCTCGTGATCATTTTCAGCGAATACTTCACGGTCGACCTCAGGGTTCTGCGGTAACGTTCGGGTGGCAGGTTCAGAGACAGCTGGTTGCGATACTGGGCCTGGCCAAGAATGGAGCTCGTGGGACTCGAGTTGCCTGGGTACTTCCAGGGTCTCTCTATTGCTCATGGTGATAGATAAACCTCGATATATAGTGTTAAGATAAACTTAGTAAAGAATCACCTAAGTTTAAGCTAGATTTACCTAAATATTTTTATCTCTTAGTGTTCAGGTCCTAAGTTTTCCTTTTCTCTAGGTAGGGGAGCGGGAAGTGGATCACCATGGTTAGCCGAGGCTGGCATAACCAATAGGAAATGCGCATGGCGTAATGAACGCGGGGATAGGGAACCGAGGTTTACGGCGGGTCTTAACAAATGGAATGACACCTTGAGAGTAGCCAGAGCAGAATCCCTTAAGACTATGAAGATCAGAGCACTGAGGTTTAGGTGAACTACGGTCTTGGTTTATTGGTCAGTAGGTGGACCAACAGGTAACAGAGTATAACGACTTGAAAGATTAAATCACTTGTTATTGAAAGGTCTAATAATAGCATAGGACATCTAGCTAACGAGGGCTTTTATAAAGCATTATTCCTCTGTAATGAAGAACATTTTTGACGCTCGCAGGGACGAGCCATGATAGCCTTTAAGAACGTAAGCTTCTTCATGCATGATACATATAATATCGTGCTATATCTCGTTTCTTGGCTTCAGGTTTGACAACCTGGGATGTTACCTTCCTTTGTTATCAACCTTTGCCAATGGAACTAGTGTCGGGCGTTACGACGGTTACGCGGTGCGCAAGGATAATGTAGCATGGTAGGTGAGCCACATCAAGAAGCCTCCCACTATGAAACAAGCATTGTGTCTCTTTTGGATAGGTTATCCAGCCCGCCCTCCCCAACTCACCTCCTTTATGATATAGAGAATATCGTAAGCTATACTGAGAATCCTCAAGCAGCCTTCGCTTCTCCATTCTCTAGGACTTGAACAACCTTGCTCTCCTCTCCCTGGTCATTGATGTCTCGCTGAATGCGGGCCGCTCGCCAGTCTGGCCCTAATCGAGTCAACGCAATGAAAAAGGGAACGATCATCAGAAGGAAAGCAGCAAATATGGTGTATGTCCAACCAGGCTGAACCGCGTCGGTCAAAGGTTGGATTGCAGCAGTTATGGCAGCGCCCAACCCGCAGCGTATTAAGTTGTTGGCCGCACTTGCAGTGGCCGCGTCTTGTGGGAAGAGATCTACCATGAGAGCGTTCAGAGCTTGCGCCACGGCGGTGGTGGTGTAGCCGATGATAAAGAGGAATACCATAGGTCCGGCGAGATGGGTTGGCTTGTTCAACGTCCATCCGTATCCAAGAAGACCGGCAATAGCGGCGGCGATGTGTGGCCATGTAACTTGCAAGCGGGCGTGCTCTACTGGCATATTTGGGTCCCGACGGGCGAGCTTGAGCGGGATATTATGCTTAGCAGCTGTCCTTCGGTAGGCCCTGTCCATGAGTCGGCCTGTGATTACGGTACAGACAGCGCTACCAATACCGAAAGCCAAGAAACAGAGAGATGTCTGTACTTCTGAAAGATCGTAGAGGGTCGTCATAAGCGGCGGAAGGCCCGTATTGACACCGGCTATCAGTATGTTGATCACGCCATTACCCGCGAGCACAACCGCACCCTCCTTGTCCAACACCACCTTCAAGATAGCGAAAGGGTTAGGGAAAGACATGGGCTTCCGTTCCGTCGCTTCTCCCTGCCGCTGCTTATTCCCTTGAGTGAAGAACAAGTAAAAGGGTTGACTGAGACGAGGCGGCGCATATGATCCGTTGCCAACAAGCTTACGATTAGTCTCAGGAAAGAGGAAGAGAAACAAGACACCCAGCACGATACATGCGATAGCCAGGAACCAAAAGATGGAATGCCATCCAAGATAACGAGTCAAGACACCGCCTAGCACAGGTGCCAGAGCAGGACCGAGAACAGGAGCAACGGTAGCCCAGGCCATATACGATCCTCGCTCGGCCGGCTCGACAATATCTGCAATAACACCACTGGCGAGAGGAATCATTCCACCGGCGCCTGCACTTTGGACACATCGCAGCGCAAGAAGTCCAGCATAAGTGTTCTGCAGCGCCAGTGTAATGTTGGCGGCAAGGAAAACCGAGAAACATGTGATGTAAGCGAGACGGCGGCCACTTGAGTCTGAAAAGCTGCCGACGAAGGTGGGGGCGATGCCTTGGAGGATCTAGCGTTACATGAGCACTCGTGGTACGTAAGAGCCAACGACGGAGATTATTTTACCATGAATGTTGTTACTGACAGGTTGACATCCGTGATGGATACGCCAAGATCGCTAGCCACGGTGGGTAGCGCAGGATAATACATGCTAGTAGACATGGTACCAAGGAGCGCGAATAGCGACACAGACACTATCATCAGGCGTTTCGACCAGAGACTATAGACCGAAAAGACTTCATCTTGAATAGCAGACATACTGGCAAAGAAGCGAGTTGCGTAGAGGGATCCTAGTACCGAAGAGACAAGACATGTGCAGTAAGTGAAGAATTCTTAAGGGTTGGGTACTTCTTGAGCTTTAGTGGTGAGATATAAAGGATCAGATCAGCAATGGGGGATCTGCAATTCCCGTGTAAGCGATGCCGTATACCCGTAAGCTCATCAGATTCGGTCAGACTGTTGGTGTAATTAGGATCGGACTAGCCTGATTTGGCAGCTCACTTTATAGACAGTCACATCATATCAAAAGTGCTTATCTGACGTTCGTATTTAGATAAAGGTTTTGTCAGTAGGATAATGTCCTTGTCTGTCAGCTTCTCGTTGTGATATAAACGGCCCAATAAAGGCCAAGGGCTTGGTAAGAACTAAGGCAAATCATCTAAAACGTACTGCCTTACAAATAATCTACAATAAGGCTTGTTGTTGTCCTGAATCAAATTGACTTTAACACAAAGCTGTATGATCTAAGTATATACCGGCATAGGCGTATAGTTACGGTTGAATGAGTAAATATGGGGGCAATATTCATCGCGCAGATTTCATCATATAAAAATCTTCACGTAACTTCATCGAGCAAAGTTCATCAAGCAAAATTCATCAAGCTGGCTTTGTTCTCACTCTCAATCCTACAGAGCCATATACGTTCCACGTTTTGTGCGCTACTTACATTTCTTATCCATAAGTCTGCATAGCAAACACCCTACCTGGCTTACGACTTCATGCTTGAAAAGCCAGCACAAAGCCACTTCCACTGTGATTACATTCTCCTTGTTTTTCATCCCCTCCTCCTCTAATACCAACAAAAGAGTGGACCTTTCCTGCGCTTTACTCTAATCTTCCTATTGCTCTTATAGACTTCTTTACATTTTCAACACATAGCAACTGACAACGGCTTTACAGTAGCTGTATTGCGAGAAGGGTGCCTTTCAAGTAAGTACGTAATTAAATTACTGCATATGTTTAAGCTGGTTCAACATCCAAATCTGTCTTCAGTAGCGACTATATCTAATATATTAGCCGAACAATTGTACTTGTCCTTCTCATGTAGGGAAGACAAGGAGGAGGGATACCAGTTTACACAGCAAGAGAAGTAATTATTTTAATTTAACTAATCAGCCACGTGCATTAACTCAATTTAACTATCTAGAATTTATTAAATTCTGTAACATTGGTCTTTTCCCGTGTTTTTCTTCTAACCGTGAATGTATTTGCGCCCCTTGTTTACCTTCTTTATTATTGTCGCGATCGCCGCAAACGCAATCAAAGCTCAGAGTCTAGTTTACTAGCAACCGCCGTAGATTTGCACTTTCTAATAACCTTCTGACGTCGCGGAAGTTCTTCGTCTCTGACATCCTCTCGGGTCCTCTTTGTCCCTTTGCCAGTTTCCTGTTCTGTAGCTGCAGGCTCTTTTGTGGCGAAAGGCCAGGGCACCCAGGACCAAAGCCATGCGATCAATTGACGACGCTGGATTTCCGATCGACGCTGGGCTTCCACTTCTAAGCGACGACTGACTTCATCGAGATCAATCGGTACGGGTTTTGGAGGTATCTTGGGAGGGACGAGGTTATTGTCAATGATCTCGCGTAAAGCCTTATGGTCTGGCAGGATAACATTTGACATAAAAGAGAATGTATGTTGGATGAATGCGCTGAGTTCTTCGGGATCAGAAATAGAGTAAAGGCGTGTGATGTCGGCGCAGAACTGTAGCTGCAGCTGTACATACTCCATGATCTTTTTCTGGTCCTTTGTTGGGAATTCCTTAAAGTGCGAGTTGCACTGAACCCTTCGCTTCAAAGAATTCATACTGAAGATGCTGCGTTTATGCTGAAGGGGCGAGTTAAGTTTAATGAACTAAGTCGAGTAACGGTTGTAGCTTTGAACGTAGTGCGATAATAGATAATCGATGTAAATGAAATAAAGTGAGACTGCTGTATACTATTGGCAATTGATGGGACAATCATCATAGTTATATATCATAGCTAAGGCTATTCGAATCGAGGGATAGATATTCAGTCATGCTGTCCAGTAACAAAGAACCAAATTCCACTAAAGCTATAGTACTTATTTACTATATCGAATGGTTCTGGGCATCCTTTTCCTGGACACCTGAATTTACTTGAAAATTTGGAACAAACCATTTGTAATAATTGATAAAGTAAGTGGTTTAAATATATCTGCTTTTATGTTATGTTCTGTCATTTGACTTATCCTGGTCTGTTCAGATGGGTCGCAGAGAGGGAACAAGACACGGTCGTCGAACAATTCCAGAACTACCGAAGGAACGTAGACCACCATTATCGAGAATGTCATCCCAGGGAATCAGAACTTTGTCTGCAAGTCCTAGCCTGTAATTTGAGCTTCTTACCGGCGAGCACGCTTATCTCACTAGGTCAAATCCAGTGATGAGAGCCGTTGTGGGCACCTGATGCGATGCTTATATTTGAGGAGCGCCGACCAATGTTTAATCATCTACGCGATAAGATAGTTAAATGGGATTTTTCAGTGTGGTGGCTTGATATGTCTTGCTGAGACGTCATAATCTTTAAGTATCAATTAATCAACAGGTCTAGGCTGGCAGCTCATGCATAGTTCCTGGCTGGACAGGCCGTGCATCTGACTCCACCAATACACTATTCGGTCCACCATCAACTTCGGCTTGCAAAGGCCGAATAATTTTGTTTGCTTTGGAGTCTTTCTCACCTCGAGCCGGAGTGCCAATCATACGGTTCATAACCCCAGTCGCTCTCCTCCTCCGCTGGAAAGACCGCCATGCAAGACCTGATACAATTGCAACAACGAAAGCTCCACCTATTGCACCAGCAGTTATGGCTCCTACTGGCATATTCTTGGGAGCTGGAAATTCTTTGAGCGCAAAAGTGGGTTCCAGAAGTGAGAATAGAGGGTCTCGATCTTCTTCTCCTTTACAGCAGTTATATGTGCTGTGCACGTGACAACAGTACTGGCCTTCGCTACACTGCCTAATAAATACCGCAGTGTGATTTTGTCCTCGGATGCCAGTCAGTCTCGAGACGGTATGCCCTCACAAAGATTCACTCACTCATAGAGCAGACCTCCTGGCAGCCGGACCAGTCCTTGTCCGTGCAAGCACCTCGTTTTATGATGTCAGGAGACTTTGCACATAGACCATTCTTCAAACAACCGAGGTTAAGATTTCCTCGGTCACAACAGGTATTGAAGATTGTGCGGTGGGTGCCACATGGCCTGTATCTTTCCGGTGCCTCGTCGCCGTTCGGAAAGTAACATTTTGTCGCCACCATCAAACCAAAGAGATAGAAGGATAAGATGAGAGCGGTAGGTTTCATGGCGAACGGTCGTTTTGTTTGTGAAAAAGAAGGCGCGGAGCTAGAAGGTGAGGCTGGGTTAATGTTGCTGACGACAAAACGGACAAGAACATGAAGAAAAAGTAGAAATGAATCTGCGCCTTAAATCGGTTCAAGGACATGCTACCCAAGACGCCGTGCATTATCTTTGTTTGTTGTCATGACGTCAAGAGGAACGTTGCCAAGGACGAAGTTGGGGGCCATCACTGATCCTTCCATTATAGGTTATCGCCGGATATTCATTTAGTTACCTTGCAACTATCATTGGTCAAGAGACATTTCAAAAGCACTTATGTGCATTTGTGAATACGCAAATACGTCCAATCATATACATCAATATTAGTTGCAAGATTGATCAACGACAGGTTGACCTTTTAGGATCTTTCGGGGTTTAATCCTGGGCACTTTCAGGCATAAAGGAAAGACCAGCCGGCAATCTGAGGCGAGCTAAAATACGAGGGACTCGCTTAGTAAATATCTAAACGAAGCAGGGAAATCTGTTTATCTCATCGCTACATTGCTGAGGTTATTCAGTCAAGGGGCTGCAGTGTAGCTACATCCGGATCATTGACAGATATGTTGATTTTGTTCACTTCGTCTACACTTATCGTGAGAGGCGAGCCGATGCCGCACCCAGGACGGGGTCCAGTGTGAAGAAGTTCTGATAGCCCGATCCAGGAAGGACCTGATTATCATTTTAACATAGTAAGCTTATTTCCCACATGGTCTGTGTCGTGTATGGTACTGAACAAGCGGGACTGTTTATAGATGTTCAAAGTCTGGAGACAACGATTACACCCTGTCATGCGATGTCTGCAGCTCGCCATAGGCCACGAACGTGCTTCAGCAGGTACATACGACCATAGGTAGTGGAAAATGCGGGATCCCGTCTGCTCTCCCATAGTCAAGCCACTAACCGGCGGATTAGTAGTTGGGTCGGTGACGACCAGCGAATCCCCGCTGTTGTATGTTTTTGCCGAATTTCTTTTTTACCACTAGCCACTGCAGATTGATCAAATTGGTCTCGTATGCTTTGCGCGTGGTCCATTCCCTGGGTTGACCCATTGTCCTCATTGCGCCAGCTCAATGGTGCTGGATGTGTGTTTAGCAAGACCTCATTGCGTTGAACATTGTGAATATGTCCATGTGGTAGAAAGGGCACAATTGTCCTCATGACAACACTATTTAGTGGGACATCGCTTTTGGGGAGTCTTTCCCACCAGCTGATGGGCACATGCTATGGGTTCATCATTACTCGCCTCTGCCAATCTCTCCAATGCTTGGACCAGTGGCCATACAGCAAATTGAGCAAGTGCCAGCAGATGGTACTTTTTAGCGAAGGGCCATAGTTCAAGAGGTCTTACTGAATTGGCTTGGGTTTGTTACTAATTATCAATGGAGGCAGGGAGAAGATCAAGGGCTAGAGAGCACAAGGATGATGAGGTGGCTCCAAGTTTGCACACTCAAGGCAGCTACCAGTAACGAACCTTCAGGAGATGAGGTTACAGAGATTCCGGAAATGACACCTTTTGATGCCTCACCAGGGTCAGAGTCGAATGCCAAGGCTGCTTTAGAATCGATGAGACACTGAACATAAGAGAAGATACTGTCTTTCGCGCAACTAGCAGTGTCTCTTGAGTGAGATAACTGTTACAGCCAGTACTCGGCGTTCTGCGTGCTTCCGCAAGCCCTCTCCAGCATCAGGGCCTACCATTTTCTTACCGCTTCTGTCGGGAGACCTGATGGTCTTCTCAGCGAGTGAGGCGCAAAGTGCAAGAATCAGCTGGTAGGTCTACTAGCATGACCTTGTCTGTGCCGCTATTGGGCTTTAAAATGAATAGATGGATTTTGTTATCTCCCAAGAAGCAATAAGAAAGTCTCATTGAATTCGTTCCTTCACACGTTTGACAGAAACCACCTTGCTGCCGAAATCTCTGTACTTTCCAAGACACTTGTCAATAGCAATGTTCGGGTCTTAGAGGTGAGGTCAACCTGAGAAGGAGGCTGCCCTTTTTTGGGACCATTTCGTTCAAGCTTTATGTAACAATGGGTAGCATTTCTCCGATGCTCAGATATGTTGTTGTAACATGGAAGTCGTCAGTGACTTGGTGTGGATGGTGCAGGGTATGCTAGGCAGCTGGGATGAGTGATGAAATTAGTGATGAAACTAGAAGCTCAGTTTCTGATGAATTTGTCCTGATGAAATTATACCTATAGTACTATACTTGTACTCAAGTGCCTGAGCGGCTTGATCTAATGATCTACTTGCCTCAGAATCCAATACTTAATACAAAGAGAGCTAAACGCAAACCATATTCCTGCGCTGCATGTCCGGTATGTTGAAACCCCCAAGTCCTTGCTAAACTAGTGATTCTGATATCTATTTTTCATAGTTTGTCGCAGGACATAACTCAAAATCGAGCGACGAGTAGGGACAGGTAAACAACCGGAAGGAGAGGTATGAAATCGATGCATGATTAGCCGCTTCTTGCTGCTAAAAAATTGGACTGGTGGTGAGAAGCGTCACTGCTGTAAATTTAACAACTAGATGCGATGTTTCTGTCTGGGAATAGATAGATATCTAGAAACCTAGTATGTTGTATGTCAGTTGCTTCCGAAGCCGTCGCGGAGCAAGCCTGAGTGACGACATTTCGCGTAGCCTTATTCTTCAGCATGTTGAATTCCCTTGGATAACTACGTTTCTTTGGCGTTCCTGGGATTATGGATCAATAGACAGCATATGCAGGCGCGTGATGTGAGTGTCAGCTGTTAGGTCTACCAACTCGAAATAACATTTTTGTAAAACCAGTTCAAGCAGTATATCATAAGTGGATATCGCGAAATGAGATCCTCCTGGAGGAAAGGTTAAATCCCGAACAATCTCGTAAGCTAACTACACCAACCCTTTAAGCGCGTAACTATTAAAATGTGGTTGGGTTACGACCTCTCCACTTAGTCGTTATCGTTACCCGACAATCCATGCTTCGATCTCGTATATTCTGGGGTCAGTCTTCGGATTATGTCTAACGAGTTTCAGAAATGACTGGGGTAAGACAGAGAAAAATGCCATTTTGGGTCTGATCTGTGTAAAATTTCCGACAGACTGGGACATCAGCCAACGGCGAATAATTTTCCGGCCTTTGTTATTTTACCATTACCTCAATCCAAAAGTCTGAAGCATGGGACCGAGATGGGGCAAAGTGCTTAGCGCTTGCGTTGAAGCCCGAGACACCGACGGCAAACATGCATATAATAAGCATGGCCATATGATTTTAAGCTTATGACTTGTTTTCATCGCAACTCACATTCGTTATTCACTCTGCTTGGGCCAGAGTTGTTTTTCTGTTTCTTTTTTGTATATTCTTATTCAATCTTTTCTTAAGTCATTCATGCGCTCATTCAAAGGATCACAATATGCGCGTCTCAACTATCTCAGCCATCTTCAGCGGCCTTGCCGTCTCTGCCATTGCCCAGTCGGATCTCGATGGCGCTGTCTGGAAAGCTCTTCTCGCCGAGCCTCAGAGCAAGCGCAGCATCTCCGACATCCCTCGTAACCGTCCCGCTAAGCGCCAGTCGGGCTGGAACCCGCCTGCAGACTTGAAGGCTCCCCTCCAGGAGGCCTGGGAGCACTATGAAAAGACCTACGACGGCGGACTTGATGCCAATGTCAACACTGGCTTCCACCAGATCATGGCTAACAAGGGTTACCTCAACATCTGTGTCCGATGGGACTCTAGCGCCAGTATCACCGAGGCCGAACGAACAAAGATCGCCAGTGCATATAACGCTCAGTACCAGAAGTGGTTCAAGTGGCTTTACGGCTACAACGGCTTCCCTTACGACGAGGTTAAGGTCAATGTTGTTGCATTTGCCGTTAAGGACAAGAGCCAGCTTCAGGGCTCCACAGCTGGCTACGAGGTCTACACTGAGCTCGATGCCGATGGTGTCCCTATGTGCCCTGTCGCTTGTGCTCGTGATGCTCATCTTGATGGTGACTATAGTGGCTGCGAGGCTGGTGCCGACCGCCACTACGACCACTCCCTGTGGTTGAAGGATGGCCTTGAGGGTGGTTTTGGTCACAACTGGGGTCAAGAGGTTGGTCGTGAGTACTTCATGAACAACCTTGACTCTGACAACATCCACATTCTTTTGCATGAGATGGTATGTCTCCAAAGACCTTTATTCACGGATAAAGCTGACAGACTATATAGGGTCATACATTTGCTCTCGATGATTGTAAGTGATCCCTCCCTCACTTCAAGAGACGTCTGCTAACAGATTCTAGTCTATGGTACTTTCCATCCACTACCAACTCTAACTTAACTGTGAGAAAACTAACTTCAACAGACTGGATCCCGACCGGTATCACCAAGTTCATCATGCTTGCTGGTGCCTCCATGGAAATCACTGACTTCGACGGCTGGATGTACCGCAACTGGTGGTACTACCTCTCTCAGAAGAACAACTGGAGCTCCGGCAAATCGAGCGCTAATGCTGCACCTGCTTCATCCGAATCCAAGCCTACCAGCAACACTGCCGCACCCGCAACCAAGACTGCTACTCCCAAGCCTAGCACCACTACCACCAAGGCCATCGCCGTTAAGCCTGCCTCTAGCAAGAAGGCCACTGCTACCAAGGCTACCATCACTCAGGTTACTTCGGCCGAAAACACCGCTAGTGCCGAGGTTGGTGCTTGGGGTCAATGTGGCGGTAACAACTGGACTGGTGCTACCAAGTGTGCTTCTGGTGCCAAGTGCATCAAGCATAACGACTACTACTCTCAGTGTGTTGCGAACTAATGGGTATGTAGCTGACAGTGTCATGTCGAGAAATGAAGCAGGTGGTTGGAGCTGAATTGGTAGCATAGTTGATCGAAGGAGATATGAGCCCGAAATAATAAGGGAATCTTAAAAGTTGTTGGAGAACGGCTTGTTTAACTGCGATCTAATGCATAAAACTTTATCCCTTCACATTATTGGGCCGCGTCACATCCACGCCTGCATATCGTTTCATGTAACATCGTTGAGTGGCACGTGGATTGTGTGCCCTGGCCTGCGATTGTGCCATTGAACAGTCGAACGGGCTTGTGTCGCAGTTTCAAGTGAGGATGGATGATAAATACCGGCCATGTTACGCCTCGAACTCGAAAGCAGGAGTCTATTGTGGACAAAGGTCACCTGTCTGGAATTTGAGTATCAAGACATAGCCATAGGCTCAAGACGTGGAAGTATATTCCCTAATAAGCTAAGTGAACTCTTTGACGTCTGTCAGAGCCAAGCTCCCAGCCTGGTAGGTAAACGCGCGGCTCCAGTCAGTCCATTCATCCGCACTTAACTCCTTGATTGAAGGCTGTGGTACTTCTCCTATCGCCCGAGTCGCATCTGGCCACTTGAACTCAGTGAATAGCATAGACATCCCCAGAGGCCACCATTCCTAACCAGACCTTCCAGGTGCCATCTCACTGCACGAATCTGTATAATCAACCTGACAGTTCATAACGGCCTTCTTATCAGGAAACGATCTTCCATGAAGAAACGTAAGACTCAAGACCGAGAGAACAGTCAGAAAAAATACCTTTAGCTTGTTGATCCTTTGAGTGAGTGCTTGGTTGGTGCGTACATGGCGACGACTGACGTCTGAGCCACAGGCCATATATGCACTTGCTGCGATGCCGAGAACAAGGTAGAACTCAGGGTCGCATAGGTAAGTAGTGATAAAGTCGTACTGGTCCTGAAAGACCCAGAGTCCGCCTCCTCTAGTGGGCATTGTTTTGTTATGTTTTCGGGAGTTTTGGTGATGTAAATGGTCAAAGAAGTTGCTATGTGGGTGGGTTCTGGAAGAGAATGTTGGGAAACGGATTGTTGATGAGAAAAGGTTTGGAAAGCGGAAAAATAGGGGTGAAATGTCATGTTAGGCGTCCCGAAACGTGGAAACACCTGTGACTGTGACGAACAACATGACACTGTCAGTGCTTATCAGCATAGTTGTTCTAACTGAACTCTAGCACGAAAGCTTTCCACGCTTGCCTTGCCTGATAATCCACTGGTTGCCAAGAATCGCTCTGTCACCCAATGGTAGTTGAGCAATCCAAACTGGCTCGCAGCGTGCGATAAATCTATTGTTGAGGTTGACGATGCAGGATCAGAAGACAGAAGTATATTGGCAAATGACTGCTCCGAGACCTGCTAGTAATATAATTATAAGTCCATCTGACATACTGATGAATTTATGTCGTGTTCTTAAATTCTGATTAAGATATGTATGGTGGGATCGTGTACACGATATCGGTTCTAGTTGGAGACGTTGTGTGTTCGCGGCCCCCTCGAGTTCTGTCACAAACAGAGCGCTCGGGAAAGCAGGTGATTAGTTGGACAACATTTGAGATAGTGAAATAAGTGACTTCCTAGCGTTAATGTCCAGAAACGATAAATAGAGAGAGAGTTGGCTGGAATTGCTGTGCCTGCGAAACAAAGTCTTGTACTAAAGACTGTGATTTAAGATAAAGTAGTTTTATACTGAAGCCTATTACGACCTCGTAGGTTGTTGTACCTCGCAAAAGACCACGCTATCTTCGACAAACCCTCACACTCTTAAAGGGCGAGAAAGAACTCCTTCACGTCAGTAGTCCAATCATCAGGGCTTGTCCAGGCAGGATAGTGACCTCCACCCGAGTGCTTCTTATAGTAAACAAGGTTAACCAATGGCTCCAACCAAGACTTGGGCTACAATCATTAGCACGTTATTGAACAGCTGTGAGTTGGGGAGTCTTACCACCAAAGGAAATTTGCGAAGGCCGGGGAATGGACCGTTTTCATTGCCCCAAGTGGTAACAGCTGTGGGTACATTCGATATTTTAGTAGTCGGCAATGCGGCCTATCAATCTTGTCAGTAGAATGTCCGACACGGTGCAACCGAAGGCGACTTACTTCCCCGATCGAATACGATCGAATGCTGCCATATGTATTCTGAATCCAGGTGACAAAGCCATCCGTCACAATCTCCTCCTGCGTAGGCTCAATGCCGTTGTTACTGCTTATTTTCAGATCCCATAGCCAAGCGGCAGTACCAACCGGGCTATCCGACAGAATGCCAGCCAGAAGCCCAGGCTTCTGAGACTGCACACTGGCGTAGGCGAAGTGCTTGGTTGAGAAGTCGTTCAGGCCAGCCAAGTACTCATTCTCTTCCTGTGTTGTCTTGCCTTGCCCTGCACGAGCGAGAATCTCTGGCGTAGGCTGGGCCAGGAAAAAGTCGGTGAAGTGGCCGATCATGTTATTGCCTACATACTCTGTCATGGCGGAGCCATAAATCCAGCCGAGATCGGTGCTGACAACGCCGTATTTCTTATAGCCAAGTTGTTGCATGAGGGCGTCAAAAGCGACGGCCTGTTCCTTGGCCCCGAGGCCCACCTTAGTTGGTGCAGGACTAAAGCCAAAACCTGGAAGATCGATTGCAACGACATGGAAGTTCTTCGACAGCTTCGGAAACACCTTTCTCCACTCCAGGTGCGTAGAACTCCATCCATGGAGTAGTAACAGAGGGATCGCGTTTCTGCTCCTGGACCTTTCGTGAACGAAGTGGATTGGAATAGGTTCAGAATAGTTACCATTTCCAGGAACAGTAGTAGCATAGTGCTTGAAGTCCATGTTGATTGATCTCTCGACATCCCTCCAGTCATATTTGCTGCCCCAGTATTCAGCAAGTTCCTTCACGGCATCCTTGGGGGGACCTTCGTTGGTCCAGTCTGGAAAGAAGCTATTGGCGGGACGATAGTCGCGGACTTTATGGAGGGTAAAGTCGAGGAAGTCTTGATCGACCTTGATGTCAAATCGCTGGGGGCTGTTGGTCTTTGGGAAATGAAAATTGAGCTCTGCTACAGTTAGTTCTATAGTAACTTTGCGATAGCAAAGTCAAGGAACAGCATGCCTTTCGCCCAGGTTGACCAAGCAAGGAGCAATAGAATGCCGATTTTAAACATTATATAGAGGTAAAACACGGGATGAAACGATATTTAAGAGTAAAGATAGTTATAATATAATATTTACATTCTGAACATGGGCTGTTAAGAATACTTATACCTGGCTTGTGGTAAATGGAAAATGAATTATCAGTCCGTATTTCTAAGCAGTAGATCTAACTTAAAGTTTGAAAATCTTACTAAGGAGCACTTAACTTAAAAAGGAAGCTCTAGGTCTTGGCATTATAGATTGTAGAAACAGAGCTAGTATAACTTTAGAAAAAAGATGTCCATATGGCCATGCAGTGCCCTTGCTTATAATAGACTGGGGTTTTGTGCTTCGGCGTTTTTGTCAGCCGGGTAAGCCGGGTGTCGGTGGGGTGAGGATTAGAGCGCAAAATGACCATGTTGCGTAAACACGGCATTAGGCTGTCTTTACACATATAGTGGGATACCAAGTTCCACAAATAGAGAGAGGAAATTCAGTCAGAGTCAGTAACAAGGAGGAATTAGAACTAAAGAAGAGGTAATAAAAGAAGCAGAATGTTCTATGAAAATCTCTAGGTTAGTGAAAGGCAGAGCACCAGCTAATGGTCAGTTCCCAGGTCAGTGTAATATGACAGTCTTTTATTTAATTCATCGATCGCCCTTAGGTTAATGATGCGATAAGTTGCACTATTGAGAAGAATAGCACCTGGCAGGGAGAGCCGGTGCTTTCGAGGTATGTGCAATGGCGCATAACGGGTGGAATCGTAACAAGATCTTTGAGCGACACTGCCATTGGCATTTCAGTAGGCAATGGTCCATGTTTCTGAAGCTTGAGGTCGGCGACTCCTGGAATAAAGCGACTTCTGATGGTTTATCACACTTACCCAGTGAGGATTTGCTACTCAGCACGAGGAATACACGAGTGCTTCTCATCACGTAATACAAGTGAGTTGGGTCAAAGAACAAAGAGCTAGGTTATTCAACATCGGGAATGACTTCATGATGCTTGGACAATTAATTCTAAACTATGCCCGTAATTCAAGGACGTTATTCGATGGATCCGACAGCAATTCATGTTCCTTCCTCTTTATCTGGGCCATCTTATGGACAGCGCCGGCAGCGTAAATGGCAGAGACAAGAATGCCGACAATACTGTATGCAACAATCAAGCCCGTAGATGCGCTAGATAACTGTAACCCAATGCCTCCGTTGATGATACCGACAATCATGATACCTCTGCCGTACCAAATGTGTCCATAGCTGATTGTCGTTCGACGTTGGTACTTAACGTAGTTTCTATGGTGCATCCATCCCAAGACAGGTTGTACAATCATCAAGATGCATACTATCGTGCCGAGGACAACGTGAGGTTCGTGAAACCACTACAGAATGTTAGTTATTGTTGATAAATGATGCATACGACTTACATCTCCGCCACGATCCGCAGCGACCTTCCCGATCCCAAAGCCGATCCACATTCCTACGAAGGCGATGATCTGCCATGAGGCATGAATGAGCCATTTCCCGAGTAAAGGCATGAGAACAGAGCCAATAGGGAACCCAACGAGGAAAACAACTGCCATGACAACACCGTGCGCTGAACCAGTATGATCTTCCCCTCCACCACCACCAGAGACAGCATTGTCGCTTGGAGTCGTGTTGGACGAGTTGAGGAAAGGGTTGGAGGTGCCGCTGACGGTAGCCTTAGAGAGATCAACAGAGAAACTGTCCGTTCCATCATGCTCATCGAAGTCACTGCTTGCATCGCTTGTGTCAAGTGGGCTACCCTTCTTCCAGGCACTGATCCACTGAGCAGTCCCTGATATGCCCGCATTTTTCCAGTAGATGTTGGCCACCATTGTACCATTCGATACGCCGCTTCCCTCGATAAGCTTGATACCGCTCACGGGCTGATACGTCGGCATATCATGACCGTGTCCCTTGCGAGGGCTCAGCGTGACATTTCCCGAGCCGTCTTGGTATATGACGAGCATCGTCGAGCCGCTCATGCGGGATCCGGTGCCGATGGCGACCCATTGGTACGTGGTAGGGGCTTCGAGACGAATATAAAGAGAGGAGGTTGACGATGGAACGGCCCAACTGTAGCATACTTTGCTCGACGATGCGTCGCAGTAGGACGCCGGGGAGGCATGTACGATGGTGGCGACTGAAGGGAGTGAATGTAAGTCTCTGGTCATTGAAGAAGGGGCCCTTACTCACAGAGTGCCAATACAAAGGCAAATACGATGTCTAGAGAATTATTCATTTTGAACATAAACAAAAGGAGACAAACTGTAGCAGAAATAACGAGTCAAAGCACGCCTGAAATGCTTGGCAATCTGGCATACCATTTCTCTGGGCCAATTTCCTCCTTATACCCCAAGCCACCTCCCTTGAACCGAGGATAAACATCCTCTCACTGTGAAAAGCATTCCAAGCCACAAAAGCCAAGCCTACGTAACCCTCCCAGCACGATGGTTCCTAAACAAGCTAATCACAGCACTTGCAATTGTGATGACCAGCTTCTAGACCAAGCCTAAATTAAGCATTCGCCGATTAACTACGGGGGATCGTGGTCCGTGCCTGCCAAGAGATCTCTTTTTCTTGGCAATGAGATGCGAGTTTTACTGTTTTAAGGCTGGCGACTTACGCGGCTCGAGAACAATACGACTTTGATCTGACGATGGCTGTGCTAGCCATGCGTTTCAGAAGCTGGGCTGCGCAGTTCAAATCAAGACAGCGAGAGCAAATGAGGTATTTGTACCCTCGACAACATTTTGCTTGCAATTAAGTCTAAAGGCAAGTCTAAATGACAATGTCCTGGACAGTATATAAGACGAATCTCTTCACGATGGTTACTTATTTGGTCTATTAACTAACTACTTTGAGATCATGGCGCAGTAAATTAGTTGCCTGTGAAATAACAAAGCTTAGGGTATTGTTATTGTCGTCATCAAGAGTGACAGGTATGTCTCTTTTCCTCCACCAGTCTCTAATTGCCGAATGCACGGGTCATTTGCACAAAATGGTGATCTGACGATGCACGTCACGTCAACGATTTGATTGGCTATGTCAGCAATGTTCTAGACCCCATTCATCCCTCAGCGCCTGGGCTGTACCCGCTTGCGTGTCCATCGGATCATCGATTGTTCCATTTATTTCTGATTATTCTTCAGAGGTAGCTAAGCTGACAACAGTCCTCCCTCACTGGCTCCCCCAAGCTTTCCCGTCCATGGTTCATCGGACTCCCACTGGAAGTCTTTCCCACCGTATGCAACTAGCAGCTCCTCAATTTCTTCCGTGCGCGACTCTAATCTATCGGATACAAGATTGTCTACCAAGGACAAATATTCACCACTTCTGCAAATACGAAGAGGCGACATACCGCGAAATCTATCGAACTCGGACATCAGATTGTTTGTTCGCCCAGCGCTGCCCAGCGGATCGCCAATATAATTCGGATCTGCCATGAATTCCAGCAGTAAGCGAATCCCTTGAAAGTTTTGAGCCGCAACAGTTATCTGCAGTGGTGTAATCGGATATCCTGGGAGATTGGGTTGAGCTCCAGCTTTCAATAGATGTTCCAGCAGACAGAAAGAGGGAAGTTCGGCAAAAGGCTCTGGCTGATAATAACCTATAAAATGGATGAGAGCTGTAGATGGATTGTAAAGACCAGTGTGGTCGAGCAGCAACCTGTCGAGACGACTTGATGCTGGATCCACAAAATGAACCACCACGTCAATTAGTGGTCCATCAAACTCGTACATATTTAGAAAGGAATTCTCCTGCCCGTCGTTGGACCGACTGTAAAGGACAGCCTCCCGTTTTAATATTATCCTGTTGCTGAAAAGTGCCTGAATGTCCGCCTCCTGAATGAGTCTGGATATGAGAGGTGAACATATATCGCCTGTTATCAGAAGCAGGCTTAGAAACAAAGATGCAACACTGTCTGTAAAATTTTCATTCCATTCGATAGTCCAAGCGTATTTCTCGTCGGCGAGGCCCGCGTCGTCCAGTAACTCGAGCCAATACCCTCTCCCTTCATTGAAGCCAAGTTTGCCAAGGCACCCAAAGTATTGTGTAGAGGGATGTAGGAGCGCTTTTACCCGCCCATAAAGTTCATCGCTCTCAGATATCTCTTTCCCCCATTCTCTGAGAAAATCCAGTGTATGAAAAACAGCATGGAAGTTCAGGTTCCCCCAAAGATCTTCCTCGTCAAATAGTAGACGGTGACCCGCTTCAAGGTCTTTAAGATGATGTGATGCGAATGTTTGAGCCTGGTGCAATAGGGTATCCAGACATGTAGACAAAACCTTGGTCCTTTCAGTGGAAAACACAAGGAGGGGGCCTTGACGTATTCGGTGTGACTCCAAATACTCTTTAACTGTATAATGCGCAAAGGATATAGGGTCCTTCAGACTACTGAAAAGACATCCGCAAAGCTCCCGTAGTCTTTCAGCATTGTAAAGGACATGGTTGTTGTGATTATTCGACCGTGATGTACTGCTCTCAATTGCATCGAAGAGCAGACTTGATGGAGTGCCGTGAAGGTAGGAAGGGTGAAGTTCGGCATAAAACCACAGCCATTGAAAGGCATGAGAAACAAATTGCCAATCCTCGGATGGTATGCGACGGAAAATTCGATCATAGGTCTCATCTAGATCTTTAGGAAGTTGCTGCAGGGCCAGGCGGACAATCTCGCGTTTACCCTTCAAGCGCTGCAATTCGTGTAGCTGACAAACGGCCCATCGGAACCTAGATCTTGTCAACAGAGTCATAGGCTCAGTATAATTAAACACTTACATTCCATTTGCCTTTTTACTGACAGCGTCTTCCACCTCAATAAGAACATCATGCGGCCAGCATCGGAATTTTAAATTTGATCGCACGATTGAGTGAATGTGAAGACGAATGTCCTGTTCGACTAATTCATTTGCCATTGGGACTGAAACGGATACGTTCCCCATCACTCGCTCAATATCGATGTACTCGCGACTCGTGACAAGGATCTGAACATTGCAAAACCTTTGGTCAGTGACGAGAGTCTGAATGACCTCAAGAAGTTCGTCACGAGGGTCGCTCTCGTCGACGGCATCAATCACAACGTACACTCTGCCAAACATCTGGAGGAGTTGTTCCAGCGCTCCAAGCAGTTCAGGAATGCTCGGTTCCGTACCACGTTTGAAAAGATCGTGCATGAGAGTAGAGACAACACGTCCCACACGGGAAAGCTGAGTGATGACCCATCGAAGAAATGGCGCCGTCTCGTCTTGATGATGGCCAAAGTAGCAGTAATAGTAAGCACTCACATAAGGCGAGTCGCTTGTCGAAACTTTGTCGCAATGAGCTTGGGTATTTGTGATCAACCACGATGCGAGGATAGTCTTTCCAGAGCCTGGGATACCGTGGACCCAAAGACATCGAGTACGTAAAGATAGCCAATCGATCCAATATTGTGAGCGAAATATCCAACTCCCGGTTCCGTCTTCATATAGTTTGCGTGACCGGTTATGAATTGGTGAGGGATCGGTTGATGTGAGCCAGTTGTACACTCTATGGCGTTGTCCCTCTGTCAATATGGAGCGGATCTCTTCAGAAACAGCTTTGATATCTTTTATATCCTTCGTGGCCTCTGTCGTCAGAGCGAGCTGGATACCCTCTTTATGACGGCTCATCTGCTGGAGAAGGTCCTGTACCTGGCCCTGCTTCAGAGGCCATGCCAATGTAGCGAATGTTGCTTGAACTTTTTGCCGTTTCGAAGTGTTCTGCCCGATCTGGAGAGATCGCTTCGGAAACAGCTTCTCCAGTGCTATCATCGCGACCCTGCATCCTTCGACAGGACCATCAGAAGCTGCTAGTCGGCTTTGCAGGGCGGCTGTGAAGGTTTCGCATTTCGATATGAACTCCAAGTTCTCAAGAACGGACTTGAGTGTGGACACTTCAATTAAAACGGTACGCAAGCTGGTAGGCGCATCGGAGCGGAGTGCTTCGATGTAGAATTTGCAGGCGCTGATTACTTCCTTGGAGATCTGGATGACCGCAATCGCGCTAGCGACAACGCCGAGCACTTCAGCCATAAGTCAGGGTTGCTTGGTGCAAAGAACAAGAGTTGTTGGTTCGTGGTCCCTGGCGGCGGTCGATGGAATCGTGTAAAAACACCAGGTCAGTGAGGGAAACAAAAGACACCAGGGTTCGGGGGATGTTGAGAAGGAAAATACAGAGATCCGTGAATTTGTTATTTCCCCCGCAGTGGCTATGCAAGGCATTTTCTGTTGGCAGTCTGAGCGAGAAATTGGTGGCGTTTTCAACCTGTTGGCAGTGCAGATATTGGTTTATTTTTGCCCAGTCAGCGTTCTTCAAAGCAATGACCACCAACCACTCCAAGTCTCACCGCCTGAAAAATCCCCAAGCCAGTTCTTGTGCAACTTCCTTACCTAAATGTTGCCCTATTTCTCACATACGTGGGGCAGAATGAAGAAGGACTGAGCAATTATTAGATGACAGAACAAAGACCATGTGATGGGGAACTGCTCAAGAGGAAGGATTGTGCGATGGTCGGATAACAAAACCAACAGATCTCATAGCTAAAGAGCCTCCTGGTTATGGCCTGTCACGAGCATCTCAGCTGTTTTAACGGGCTCTTCAACTATTTAGTCCAAAGCTTACTATTTGTTAGATGCCCCTGTGAGGACCGTTCAAGTGTTAAGGTCTCCAGTAATAGTAGCAGTATCATCTGCTTAATACTTAATAATCAAGAGTGGTTCTACATGCCTGGTGTTCCAGGCAAGCCTGTTAAGAATAGAGAATTAAAAAAAAGAGTCAGTAGACAGTAGATGCTTAGTCTTCCAGTTGACCTTGCAATGCAATTCGAGGAATGATTCAGGCGTGAGTGATCTGGCTAGCATGCGGTTGTGTCCAGGGTAGCGAATATGGCTGGAAAACACGTTGACTTCTCTCTCTTGATAAAACGCCAAGCCCATTTTGCTCTTATTTGGGCTGAAAACTGTGGTCTTATCTCTCCTAAAACAACATTGCGCCATTATCGGAACTGAGCCACCATCAGCCTTATATCCTATTCATTTTATTTCACTATATCTATCATCAGCTCAAAGTCCCAACGCACGCTCCCCTGTCGCGTGTTCATAACGCGACGCGCCAACAAGCCTAAACTATTCTACGTCTGTCTTAGTTCAACTTCGGCTTAACTTACTTCCGCACCCATTTCGAGCAAGGGTCAGTGTTCACAGACCTCCTCGCTCAAGGCCATGAGTTCCACTTATTTCTCATAGTGCTTACAATAAACATCAAGAATAATTACAGTATCTCGCCTTGACAAAATAGCTCAAAATGGACAGCAAGCATCCTGCTGCATATACTTTAGTGAAAGGAACAGGTATGATCCGAGCAGGAATTACTCATTGAACAAACTAACCTGAGCTGCAGGTTCCCTACAGCGTACATGGTATCTATACCATCGCCTGGGTATATGGTCAAACCTTCTGGTTTCTGCGCGATATACATGCGTCAATGGACAAGAACTTAGCCAAAGCGTCATCATTGAAGCACTACGCCATGTTGTGCAAGCTCATCCTGCCTTATGGCACGTCTTTGTCCAGAAACCGTCTCCAAATCGAGGTAAGCACGAGCTGCACACCGCCAGGCTGCCCACTATCGACTTGGAGAAATGCATCGAAGTCTTAGACTGCGACCGAAACAATAGTGAGGTCACTTCGGATGATCTTGAGAGAGCCCATAATGAGTGGTGGTGGCCTGATGATGAACCCGATCGCCCGTTGTGGAAGCTTCTTGTGAAAGGGAACAATGTCATCTTTGTCTATCATCATTCACTGGGTGATGGTATATCCGGGATGGTCTTTCATCGCGAATTTCTCGCTTCGCTGAATTCACCCACAGCTGAAAAGACCATGCATATGTCTCGTCCTGATACCCTCATGCATGCAGACGAGAATATACAATCCCCTATCGAACCGGAAGACGTTTGGGAAGGGAAAGACAGCATCTTGGAGTTAATTTGGACGCAGCTAGTGTGGCTGTTTGTCAAGTTCTTTTACAGCAACAATCGCATTTATGGCGATCTTCCCCCTGCAAAACCTCACCTCAAGTCTGCAACTGCAGTGGCAAAGCCAGAGGATAGAACCGTCACGCGCATTTCGTCGTATCGTATTCCAGCAGAATACATGTCCGAAATACTCACCGCATGTCGCAATCATCAAACCACCTTTACACCTCTACTCATTACAATGTTTACCATCGTCCTTGCCAACGAGTTTTACCCGAGCGCAAAGATAGGAGCGACCCGCTTCAATTTTGACTTGAGGCCCAGCCTTCCCATGGCTCGTGTTGGTGGAGGAACAGCGAATGGGACGTTTGTGAACGCAGCAGGAAGCTGGCAGCTCTGGCATAGACTGGGACCATTCCGTCAAGTCCTGATTACGAAAGGCGATGGCAAAGAGACATCGCTCGACTGCCACTCCGTATGGGAGCTGGTCAAGCATTACAAAAAGGAGATGACACATGCCATTTCTGGCAAAGCTATAAGAAACTGGATCGGGGTGAAGCGTCTGGGGACTGATCTAGAGAACGTGGTTGACAACGGATTTCCTTCTATATCTCTCCTTCTCAAGCCTACTTTCAGCGTTTCTAACATTGGCTCGTTCGATAATGCGAAAGTAGAGTACGACGGAAAGAGCACAGGGCTATGGCGGATCGATGATATGCAATTCTCAGCTGGAGCCGTAAATGGCAACCAGGGCACACACGGGGCTATCTTCCATGTTTGCGGTGTTAAAGGGGGAGATACAGTTATTACCGCGACTTATGAAGACGGAATTGTCCCGCGGCAGATGGCTGATGAGATTCTGGATCGTGCCGTCACAAGGATGCTCGAGATAGTCTGATGTGATAAACGTTCTTGTAGCAGAATAGCTTTCGGCACCTCATGACTTGATGCGCATTTTCTTGGTCCCTTGACCTGGCGTTAATTGATTTGTCAACGCATCGACATGCACGAACCCTTTCTGTCGTCGAAGTCATCTTTTGGGCCGGTTTGGATGTAAGATGCTTGCTATACCGGTTTCGATGTTCAGGGCTGTTTGAATCTGGCACTACCTGGACTTGACAGCTGAAGGTGCCCCAAAGCAACATTCGGCAAAGGTTACACAACTAGTGAAGAAGTCCCGGCAACACCTTGCTTTGAATTTATACTCACGGTGAATGGCAAACTGGATTTGGATACCACCGGTCCATACGCAAGGGTCGCTTTTATCACCATCAGTATAAAGCTAAGCAAATTTCCTTTTCAATGACTCATATCACGCGCCTCGCACATAGATCCTCTCCTTCAATATAATACCCGTGCTCACCCATGGCTTCTATCTAAGCCCCCATATACTAGTTTATCTCTTCTTTTCGAGGACTTGGAAGGTCACATGCTTCAGTGTCGGTGCAGTTACAGTAGCGTATGAGTCTGGGGGGGCGATGGAGGTCACCACGTGCTTTCATTTGTGTTGTCCCATTGAGAGCAATTAAGCAGTAGTTCTCACGCATCTTCTCGAGTCAGTAGTTAGGCGGTTTCTTTCACTTCTCTCTCATCCTTATTAATACAGGCGACAGAGTATGGTTTGTTATGATGATCAGGAAATCTCTGTTCGCACACTGCAAAATTGTCATTGCCACATAAGAGGCTTTTGAGTAGTACGTGCCCAATTTCGCTAAGGTGTTGACGTTGACCGTTAATGTCCGCGTTAATATGTCTATACAGAGAGGCATGATTGATAGTTGCCAGTGCACAGTAGGTTCATGATTGCGGAGAGTAGTTCTAGGTGGATTAAAGACAGAATGTCTGGTAGGAATAGCTATGAATTAAATATAAATGGTATAAATTTAGAGAGTCTATATATATACAGATGCTAATACTGATACTCTCATAGTGTATAAAGAGGAAGAAGAGCCGCAAGCCAAGCTAGAGCAAGAAAAGCGGAATAGAAGTGAAGTATAACAGTGCGTAAGACAATGGGTGCATGATAGTAAACCGCATCTTGCTACAGGCACTGCTGGTAGACATCTTGAAAGACAAGAGTAGATACCTACTAGAAGAGGGAAGCGATAACAGCGATAGCAGCGACAAGTGCCATAGAAGTGCTAGTCTGCTTGACGGCACCAGCAGTAACGGGAATACCAGAAGAGCTAGCAGTACCAACAGCAGAGCTAGAGGCACCAGAAGAGGACCCAGAGCCAGAACCAGAGCTACTGCTGCTAGATCCTGAGCTGCCGGATCCAGAAGGAGAATCAGAGCTACCACTTCCAGAACCGGAACTGCCTGGACCAGAGCTGCCAGAACCGGAAGTGCCTGAACCAGAGCTACCGCTTCCTGAACCGGGACTACCAGATCCTGAGCTGCCAGAACCAGAGCTACCACTTCCAGAGCTACCACTTCCAGAGCTGCCAGAACCGGAGCTACCTGAACCGGAGCTGCCTGAACCGGAGCTGCCAGGACCAGAGCTTCCAGGACCAGAGCTACCAGAACCAGAACCGGGACTGCCAGAACCGGAAGTGCCTGAACCAGAGCTACCGCTTCCAGAACCGGGACTGCCAGATCCTGAGCTGCCAGAACCAGAGCTACCACTTCCAGAGCTACCACTTCCAGAGCTGCCAGAACCGGAACTGCCTGAACCAGAGGTACCGCTACCAGAGCCAGAGCTGCCATTGGAACCAGAGGCGGTGCTGTTGCCTGTGGCGTAGTGTGTTGCGTAGGTACACTCAGAGCAGACAGGGATCTCTTGCTCGTTGCACTCCTCGGGAGTACCCCACTTATTCTCCCAAGGAATGAACTTGATGGCGGCTTCACCCTGCTTGCCGCAGCCGCAGTCAGCAGGGATAAAGAAGTTCTCGTAGTTATACCAGTCATGGCACTCAGATGCCTTATAGACAGTCTCGCCAATGCAGCTGCCACCAGAGCAGAAGATAGCGGTATACTCCTGTCCACCCTGGCATGAGCAAGCGGAAGAGATATACACCCACTCATTATCACAGTCAGCGCCATTAGCCTCAATCATGACGTAGACAACACGAGAGCCAGAGTTAGACTCGGCAGTGCACTTGCCATTGATGCAGATGTAGATCTCCTCAATGACAGTGGTGGTAGGGTTGGGGCCAGGAATGGTCTTGGTGACCTCAGTGGTGATAGTGGTGGTGCCTGAGACAGTCGCAGTGATGGTAGCCAACTTAGTGACCGTGCTAGCAGCAGCGTGAACGTAGACAGTGAGGAGGATGTTGCTCGGGATCGCACGGCGCATAATACGGCTGGAAGCAGCTTTACCACCGCAGAACTCAGAGTCATCGCCAGGGCACTTGGTGTCGCAAAGATCAATGGCAACACGGGTAACGCTTGAGGAGCTAACTTCCTCACCACAGTAGCAGTCACTAAGTTTTTGTTAGCGAGGGGTTTATCGACAGAAGTTGAATGGGACTTACGTGTTGTAAACACCAAAGTAGGCCTTGTCAGAGCACAGGGAGGCACAAACATTAAGGTCCATGGAATCGCTGGAACTAGCGAGCTCAAAGGTAGGAAAACCAGCAGAAGAGCGGGCACAGCCGAAGAGAGTAAAGTCTCCAACCGCAAGGGGGTTGACCACGCTGCTGGCAGAGCTAGAGGAAGCAGAAGTCGAATGGGTGATGGAACCAGTAACAGAGCCAGTGGTAGAACCAGTAGTAAGACCAGTAGCGGACTCAGTAGTAAGACTGGCAGACTCAGTAGCAGAACCAGTAGCAGACTCGGTAGCAGACTCGGTAGCAGACTCTGTAACCGACTCGGTAGCCGACTCAGTAGCAGTTTCAGTAGCAGAACCAGTGGCCGACTCAGTAACAGACTCGGTAGCAGACTCGGCAACGGAGCCTGTAGCAGAGCTAGTAGGAAACTCAGTAGCAGACTCAGTAGCAGACTCAGAAGCAGACTCAGAAGCAGACTCTGTAACAGACTCGGTAGCAGAACCCGAATCAGTAGCAGACTCGGTAGCAGACTCTGAAGCAGACTCGGTAACAGTCTCAGTAACAGATTCGGCAGATGTCTGGCTTGCAGTCTGAGTTACGTCGACAGAACCAGTCGTAGCGATAGGAACCGCAGCAGTGACAAGGGCAAGGTCCTTAACAGCCAGATTTACGGGACTAGTACCGCAAGTCTGTGTAAACTTAATGTTCGGGTTACTTTCCGCGACAAACGGCTGACTAGCCTCGCTGTAAGTAGCAGGTGTCGACGCAACAGGTCCGGAGTAAACCACATTGCCGTCAACTGTGATGGTCAGAGTGCAGCCCTCGAAGGCGCGCTTGGCACGCAAGCGTTTGAAAGCGCTGACAGTGTATTCGAATGTGAGGGTTGTGGAGCTGCCACTGGGGGAAGAGGAGGCTTGAACGGCGACATCGAATGTCGCCTCACCGTTCGCGCCAGCTACCAAGTCAACGGCGACAACGTTACCATTGGAGTCTGTCTGGGGTGAAGCACCTTGTCCATAGGAAACACCTGAGTCAAGGGATACAGATTGAGAGCTAATAATGGATGCCGAGGTGGTGGTGACAGATGTAGAGGTGGTAGAGGTAGAGAAGCTTGTAGACTGAGGAGCAGGGGCAGAGCTCGAGGCCAGGGCACTAGAGCTAGTAGAGATATCAGAGCTGACGGGAACACCAGAGCTAGCAGGAGCACCAGAGCTGGTAGAGACATCAGAGCTGACGGGAGCCTCAGAGCTGGTAGAGACATCAGAGCTAGTAGAGACATCAGAGCTGACGGGAGCCTCAGAGCTGGTAGAGATATCAGAGCTGGCAGGGGTAACAGAGCTAGCAGGAACACCAGAGCTAGTAGACACCTCAGAGCTAATGGGAGCCTCAGAGCTGGTAGAGGCACCGGAGATAGAAGCCGATGAACTGATACCACTAGAGCTAGCCGAAGATGCTAAGCTGGCAGAAGAGCTGATAGAGGCGCTAGAGCTGGTAGGAACAGAAGAGCTAGAAGCCGATGTACTAATGCCGCTAGAACTGGCAGAAGAGGAGCTAGTAGAGGCAGAGCTGGCAGAAGCAGATAAGGAGCCGGAAGAGGAGCTAGCTGAGGGTGTCAAGCTGGCAGATGAGGAGCTGATAGAGGCAGATGAGGAGCTAGCTGAAGGTGTCGAGCTGGCGGAAGTAGAGCTGACAGAGCTGGAGCTGTGAGAAGCAGACGAGGAGCTGACAGATGAGGAGCTAGCGGATGAGGAGCTGGCAGGAGAAGAGCTGACAGAAGAAGAGCTAATAGAGCTAGAGCTAATAGAGCTGGAGCTAGCAGATGCTGATGAAGAACTAATAGAGCTAGAGCTGGGAGAGCTGGAGCTAGCGGATGCAGATGCTGAAGAGGAGCTAGCAGAGCTGGAGCTGGGAGAGGCAGATGAGGAGCTCACAGAGCTAGAGCTAGCAGAGCTGGAGCTGGGAGAGGCAGATGAGGAGCTAATAGAGCTAGAGCTGGGAGAGGCAGATGAGGAGCTCACAGAGCTAGAGCTAATAGAGCTGGAGCTAGTAGATGCAGATGCTGAAGAGGAGCTAGCAGAGCTGGAGCTAGCAGATGCTGAAGCCGAAGAGGAGCTGATGGAGCTGGAGCTAACAGAGCTCGAGCTAGCAGATTCAGATGAGGAGCTGATAGAGCTGGAGCTGGGAGAGGCAGATGATGAGCTGGCAGAGACTGATGAAGATGAGGTACTAGTTATAGTTGAAGAGTCACCTATAACTCCCAGGCCCAGGCCCAGGAGAATAAAGGGTGTTAAACGCATTATTATTTTAGTTTCAGGGTTGTAAAACCAATGTAAAGGTAGACTGGCGTAGGAGGGTTAAACGAAGGATGAGAGTAATCTACAGAGAGAGTATTACAAGCAGCGCATTTGAATAGATATATATATTGGAATTTTTATATAAGGTTGTTTATGATCGCGATTTTAATATTACCTCTCACTGTTTTGGCCATCTCCTGCCAATCTTGGCGTAAGGTTTTCTTCACATACTTAGCATAAAGAATGACAGCTACGTAAACATCCACGGCGACGCATTGAGCTGTTGCCATCGGGATTCCTATAACGGTGACTTGAATACGAGCAAACTGCCGTTGATCCGTGTCTCACTGTCTATAACGGTTTACGCTGTGGATCTTCTCTTACTGGTCAAAAATGCTAGTGTCTTAAATTTGCCGAGATGCCTATCTCTAAGTAGCAAGAAGTGGAGGGGTTTGAATCAATCAATTGATAGTAACTAAGCGGCGATCTTTGAAAAAGGGAAAGTCTAAAGAGCTGCTAGAGACAACTCTATAGGTGGACCATTTCTCTGGATAGTTATATGTAAATCTTGTATACCTAATCAAGACTGTAAAAGAGTTGAAAGAATTTTTAAACTACTCGAAGCGCTAGTCTTTCTATTGACTTCCGTCATACCCGGCAGGTTCATCTTCAATTGGAATCTGTACCCGCTGGGTACGAGCTGGCCCATCATAGCTCATCTGGCAGGAATGTGACTTGTGATGTAGTACCAAGTCTGCTTCATTGCAACATACTTAGACTTTTGTATTATGAGGAATTGACTTTTCACCGGTTCTGGGTACTTTCTACATGCCTGCTACTGACACGAGAGGAAGGAGTGGCTAAGTGATTTGAGATTCATGTCAGGCCAGGAGATAGAATCCTTAATCTGAAGAAGAGCCCATGCAAACTCTAAAGCTATCGTTCGAATTTCTTCAAGTTCTCCGTGGTATAAGCTCACAGCCAGAAGCCCGAATTGGGCCAAATTGCTCAAAAATATCCAATGGAAAGGAAGCTGCCATTGCTCCGAACGCTACAACGTTCGGGTGCAAGTGGTCTCCAGAGTCATAGTCTTCCTTCAGTCGACTAGCATCTTCAGTAGATCGCAGGACGTAGTCAAAGTCTACCACGGCGTCAAACACGCCAGACTTTCGGATCCATTCGTTAACGTCCTGGCGCGCCCTTTCACGTAATTCACAGGTTCCATAAGGCTCGTTACCACCCATTGGCCCAATAGTGGCTCCCAAGACGTACAAACCGTGCGCATGGCAGCGTGAAACAATCTGGCGATACGCCTTCTTAAGAGCTTTTATGACCTCTTGTAAAAGGACGAGGTCAGAATCTGCCGTCCCAATGTCATTCACCCCATGAAAGACCAAGATGTAATGTCGACCTGGCTGAGAGATAGCGTCACGATCTAGACGACTCAAAAGGCTTGGTCCTTTGCCATCTTGTAGAACCCTTCCGCCCCCGACGGCCTGGTTGATAATGGCAATATTCTGTGCGAATGGATGTTGCTGCATACGGTCGAATAGAAGGTCTGGCCAGCGGTCGTTTGCGTTATCTGTGCTACAGCGCCCGTCAGTTATGCTGTCGCCCAGGAGAACCAGGGTTCCGTGATGAATAGCATCGAGACACATTTCGACTCCAGAGAGGAAATACCAATGTGTCGATGACTGTAAATCAGGCCCAGAGAGTTCAGATGCCATCGACTGGTCGCCATGACAGAGCCAGGAGTCTGTGCGACTGCCCGGGTGAGAGGTGATCTGTTGAGAATGATGGCCTTTCTGGAGAAAGATGGTAATCGATAAGACCTGTCCCGCTTTGATTGGGAAATTGAAGCTGTCTGATACCACGTGGGAGCCTCCAGGCACTGAGATCTGTTGTTCGCCATCAAACAGGACCCACTGTGCTGTTTCCTTCAAGATCGAGGGAGAACCACCTGGAGTGAGCGGGTCGTGTGGCCGAGAAACAGCAATCACAACTCTTGAGATGTGCAATGTCTCCAAGCCAAACAGGTTGGACAGGCGAATCCGGATGCAGTCACCGCTAGCTGTCACTCTCAACGTTTGCCGGATGGTGGTATTCTGAAAAGCGATCCCACGCTGCGTCTGGTCAAGCAACAATGGTCAGAAAGCCCTTTGTTAGGAACCACGGAATTTGGCTGGCCTTACAAACGGATAAGGCGGCATATCTGCCTCTTCAGTAGGCTGAGGAGTTGGTGCCCATACTGTTACCCACTTGAAGGGAGACTTCATCTCGAGGGAGTGACTGACTTGGCTCTGTGTCAAAGGTCGTACATACACTCGTCGCTTGTTAGTTGGGAGGGTTACGTCACCTGTGAACGAAGTTTTGATTGTGAGGAAAGGGGGTCAGGGCCGTGCTAAAGGTGTCACTTTAACTAAATGCAGCAAACCCCTCAAGTGATGAACGTTAGTGCCGGTTAAATACAGAACCGTCCTACAAGTGGAGAAATCACCCGCCGAAGCTCGGATTATACGAGGTATTACGACATCAACTGTCTCCCTTTGCATGGCACCATAATTGAACGGTATACGTAATCAAATGTACCCGGTAGTGATGACAAGATGGAATGGTTTTTAAAGCTAAATTTACTAGGGGGACTTCTGTGTACCGTTTCAAGGAAACGTTTGACCGTTGCCAGTAGGAATTTACTAACCTTACTAAATATTTAATCCACCACGCCTTCCGGCAAAACTGAGATATAATCTAGCGATGCCATGTCCTTTCCATCTGGGTAACCAATCACAGTCAGCTCGGCACCCTCCCTGGTATCGACACCACGGAAGTAAACTCTCGTGGCCGAGTGTCCGTCTAGATACTCTGAGAAGTCATGACCGAGCCGCGTATCGAGGTCACTAGTCCACTCTCCGACAATCTTTCCATCCAGGAGAAGCTCGTACCGTGCATGCCCACCGGTGTGATCAAAATAGTTGACAGCGATGTCATGCCTCCTCGAGGGGAATGTTAGTTTGGTGGTTGCAACGGCCTTTTCCAACGATGATGCTACGATGGCACGGCCACGAGACGCCGCTTCGGGAGGCGTCACGTCAACAATGGTATAGCCACTCAACTGCATGCTTTCGGCCTCTATACGCCAGGGATAGTTCCCGACGCGGCTCTTGGCATCTGGGACGCCACACTTGGCCAGATAGAAGTTGTTCACTGAGTCACGCCAAACGAGTGAATGGCCTGCTTGATACGCAAGCTTGAAGGCGACATGCTCAAAGCGAGCATCGTCAATGAGGCCCTTCAGGGAAGCCCACCTTGTTACAAACGTCTGTGCGTTTGCTGATCCTTCGTAGTGGGCATTGTATATGTGTTGTATTACAGTTTTACCAGACTTGAGCTTGTGCGTGTAAGGAACGTGATGAAACCATAAAAGAAGGTCATCCGGCGTTGTCTCAATCCTCTCAAACTGAGCAGCGACCTGAGGTGGATATTGAGCTGCATAGCCCGTGCCAGTGGCAGCGGTACGGTCCATACCAAGGGCCTTGCTATCGGCGCGAGTCCATTGGCCCCAGCCGTTTCCGTCTTGCGAACCCGGACTGGGGCCGTAATGTGTGTAGAGGATGTCACACAGAGTTTGGATCCCAAGATTACCGCTGTAGGCTTCATATGTAGGCCAGGACTCCATTCCGATGTCGCGGATGGTGTCTATCACTTTCTGGTTCTCTGCGTTGAATGTCAGGCGAATCCAATCGAGCAGGATATCCTGCGCTGGGGCGGCTGCATCCCAACACAATCGGCCGTAGGCATAGAGGTTTGACATGGATAGATGGTGTCCCAGCCATGTTGGGTCATTCCCGATGTTGGTCACTGCAGCATAGCCGCCCTTGTTCAGACCGTGGACCTTGCCAGAGGCAATATCTCTTACAAGAGAAGGCTTGTCGTCAATTCGCATATCAAAGCCGAGAATAGTCTCCCATTCTGGAGCCATATACACGTAGTGTGACTGTTGACCCAGATACTCCTGACACACCATGAACTCACAGATGACGGGCGTCTTCCGGAGATGGGCGAACAGAGTCGAGGGCGGCTCACGGATCTGGAAGTCTATTGGACCAAACTTGATCTGGATGATCACGTTATCTTCGAACTCCCCATCAAGGTGAGCGAAGTACTCAACTGCGGCATTGGCTCGGTCATTCTTGAGATCAGATTCGTCCAGGTGATGGTTGTAGACAAAAGCACGATACATGACGATACCGTCACCGTGAGGTTTCAGGGCACGAGCAAACATATTGGCTCCTTGCGCAAGTGTTCGGCCATATGTCAGAGGGCCAGGTTGACCTTCTGAGTTGGCCTTGATGGTGTATCCAAGCATATCTGGGACACGCTTGTATAACTTGGCCGTGATATCCTCCCAGAAGTTGATGACATCGGGATCGAGAGGGTCCGATGTTGGCAAACCAGCGAGGCCTCGGGGAGTATCGAAAAATAATGAAACACCAATACGTACTCCGTAGGGACGCATTATATCGGCGATTCGACCGAGCCCATCGAGGTTTGTTTCGTTGAGAAGATTGTGGCTCGAGTTAACGTTGTTCACAATGCAGCCATTAATGCGAATTGAGGCTAATAACCGAGCATATTGGCGGACGCGAGACAAATCCGTCAAGACCTCGCCGTCGCGGAAGAAAATAGACTTTCCGCCGTAACCTCTTTCTATGCTGCCGTCGAGGTTGTCCCATTCGTTGACATATCTGATAGCTGCGCCGGGATTGTATGTCTTTTGGACATTAGTGTTGGCCAATTTGCCCTGTGCAAGGAGAGACAGGTATTCGAATGCGCCATAAAGAGCTCCTCGCTCATTTTGGCCGACAATGTGAATGTCGTTGCTTCCATGAACATTTGTGTCGAGCCAAAACCCGTCTTCATCAAGGGCAGGGACCGACTGGAGGAGAGGGTTGCCCTCATTCGCCTTCAGAGCTGACAAAGTGCCGACTATAATTGAACATCCA